TGGTTTTCTGTATACCAGGGAGCTAATTTCTTGTGACAAATGTTTTGTTTTTAGGGATGCGACTGCATCTAGGGTATTACGCAAGGGTAAATTTAGATCCTCAGTTTGGTTAAACAATTTTTGTACTCCGACGTCCTTGGGTACTTGGAGGGAGTCTGGAAGGGCATCTAGGAATCTTTGGGTTGTCTGAGAATTTATAGCACGGCTTTTGATGATCCTTGGTTGGGGTCTGAGCAGATTATTTGTTGCGATTGCAAACGTAATAAGATGGTGGTCCGATAGTCCAGGATTATGAGGATTTTTTTTCCGATACACAATTTATTCCACAGGACAAATCTAGATCCAGGGTATGACCGTGGCAATGAGTAGGTCCGGAGACATGTTGGACAAAACCCACTGAGTCGATTATGGCACCAAAAGCCTTTTGGAGTGGGTCTGTGGACTTGTGAATATTAAAGTCACCAAAAATTTGAATATTATCTGCCATGACTACAAGGTCTGATAGGAATTCAGGGAACTCAGTGAGGAATGCTGTATACGGCCCAGGAGGTCTGTAAACAGTAACTATAAAAAGTGATTGAGTAGGCTGCATAGATTTCATGACTAGAAGCTCAAAAGTTGAAAACGCAGTCGTTTTTTATATATTTTTATTGAAATTTGCTTTCGTAAATGTTAGCAACACCTCCGCCTTTGTGGGATGTGCGGGGAATATGGTCACTAGTGTAACCAGGAGGAGAGGCCTCATTTAACACAGTAAATTCATCAGGCTTGAGCCATTCTTCAGTCAGGCCAATCACATCAAGATTATGTTCAGTGATTAGTTATTTGACTATGACTGCCTTGGAAGTGAGGGATCTAACATTAAGTAGCCCTATTTTGAGATGTGAAATATCACAATCTCTTTCAATAATGACAGGAATGGAGGAGGTCTTTATTCCAGTGAGATTGCTAAGGCGAACACCGCCATGTTTATCTTTGCTCAACCTAGATCGAGGCACAGATACAGTCTCAATGGGGATAGCTGAGCTGACTACACTGACTGTGCTTGTGGCAGACTCCACTAAGCAGGCTGCCTAGCCTGTATCCTATCTCATTGTGGAGCTAGAGGAGTTAGAGTCCTGTCTATGTTGATAGATAAGATGAGAGCACCCCTCCAGCTAGGGTGGAGTCATCACTCCTCATCAGGCCAGGCTTGGTCCTGTTTGGGTGAGTCCCAGAAAGAGGGCCAATTATCTACAAATTCTATCTTTTGGGAGGGGCAGAAAACAGTTTTCAACCAGCAATTGAGTTGTGAGACTCTGCTGTAGAGCTCATCACTCCCCCTAACTGGGAGGGGGCCAGAGACAATTACTCGATGCCGACACATCTTTCTAGCTAATTTACACGCTCTGAATTAAGTGCACTAACTCTTTTGACTCATCACATGCGCTGCTGCTACTGCTTATTATCTATCTTGTTGCCTAGTCACTTTATCCCTACCCATATGTACATATGTACCTCAATTACAGTACCCTGGACCCAATGTTCCCTCAAATCCGCGCGCAGCTCCCCCAGGACTGCCACGCAGAAGAAATGTCAGCTGGTGCAGAGAAGCGCGAGATTGAACTTTTTTCCCTGTTTGTTAACACTATCAACGTTTCCCTTTACTGTGGCAATTGTGATCGAATCAACGCAATATTTGCCACGTTCAATGCAACATACCGAAACAAAACGAACTATGCAGGAGATTTTGTTGTAGGCAGAACGCATCGGAGTAGGATTCTATTGCATTGACAAGCACGACTCAGGCCCGTACTCTACACAGACCGGTGCACCATAACCAATCAGAGCTGCAGTAGGCCTATATCCAAATAGACCATTGCCATATATGGATTTGTGCCATTCACTTTGAACTGGACATTTATTACAACGAGCGGTTTTGAGATCAAAGCGAGAGCTGCATGTAGCCATGTGTGCACAATTTTACATATCCTTTGCTAGTTAATGAGTTATTAGCCCAGTTATATATCATTTGTAGTCAGCAATGGGGGAGTGATTGCTTCCTACAAGAGCACAAAACGTGTGCATTTCTCGACATCTTTGAAAAGGGAGTCAGGTAAAGAGCTTTTTTTTGTCTTAAAGGGGCAGTGTTGTATTTCGAGACAGGCTTGAATAAGCTAAGTAGCCAATAGGCAGAGGGTAGCATAATTTGCCTGATTCTTTGTAATAATGGTATGGGAATAATTATGCATTTTATTTTGTAAAGTGGTTTCTTGCATCAAACAACACAACAACATTTTCAGTCACCTCCTTGTCTGAAGGACAAGTGGATAAACAGGTTGATGTCAAGCCCTGCATGTTTTTTTCAAAAGTCTCATGGAATGTAGGCCTACATTGAGCACCACACATTGTCTGTTACTGTAGGATGAATGATAGAACAGCTACAGTGCCTTGCAAAAGTTTTCATCCCTCTTGATGTTTTTCCTATTTTGTTCCATTACAACCTGTAATTTAAATTGATTTTTATTTGGATTTAATGTAATGGACATGCACAAAATAGTCAAAATTGGTGAAGTGAAATGAAAAAAATAATTTGTTTCAAAAAAATGCACAAAAAAAAATAACTGAAAAGTGGTGAGTGCATATGTATTGCTATGAAGCCCCTAAATAAGATCTGGTGCAACCAATTACCTTCAGAAGTCTCATAATTATTTAAATAAAGTCCACCTGTGTGCAATCTAAGTGTCACATGATCTGTCACATGATCTCAGTGTATATATACACCTGTTCTGCAAGGCCCCAGAGTCTGCAGCACCACCAAGCAAGCGGCACCATGAAGACCAAGGAGCTCTCCAAACAGGTCAGGGACAAAGTTGTGGAGAAGTACAGATCAGGGTTGGGTTATAAAAAAATATCATAAACTTTGAACATCCCACGGAGCACCATTTAAATCCATTATTAAAAAATGGAAAGAATATGGCACCACAACAAACCTGCCAAGAGAGGGCCGCCCACCAAAACGCACGGACCAGGCAAGGAGGGCATTAATCAGAGGCAACAAAGAGACCAAAGATAACCCTGAAGGACCTGCAAAGCTCCACAGCGGAGATTGGAGTATCTGTCCATAGGACGCCTTTAAGCCGTACACTCCACAGAGCTGTGCTTTACGGAAGAGTGGCCAGAAAAAAGCCATTGCTTAAAGAAAAAAATAAGCAAAAACGTTTGGTGTTCGCCAAAAGGCATGTGGAAGACCCCCCAAACATTTGGAAGAAGGTACTCTGGTCAGATGAGACTAAAATTGAGCTTTTTGGCCATCAAGGAAAACGCTATGTCTGGCGCAAACCCAACACCTCTCATCACCTCGAGAACACCATCCCCACAGTGAAGCATGGTGGTGGCAGCATCATGCTGTGGGGATGTTTTTCATCGGCAGGAACTGGGAAACTGGTCAGAATTCAAGGAATGATGGATGGTGCTAAATACAGGGAAATTCTTGAGGGAAACCTGTTTCAGTCTTCCAGAGATTTGAGACTGGGACGGAGGTTCACCATCCAGCAGGACAATGACCCTAAGCATACTGCTAAAGCAACACTCAAGTGGTTTTAGGGGAAACATTTAAATGTCTTGGAATGGCCTAGTCAAAGCCCAGACCTCAATCCAATTGAGAATCTGTGGTATGACTTAAAGATTGCTGTACACCAGCGGAACCCATCCAACTTGAAGGAGCTGGAGCAGTTTTGCCTTGAAGAATGGCCAAAAGTCCCAGTGGCTAGATGTGCCAAGCTTATAGAGACATACCCCAAGAGACTTGCAGCTGTAATTGCTGCAAAAGGTGGCTCTACAAAGTATTGACTTTGGGGGGGGTGAATAGTTATGCACGCTCAAGTTTTCAGTTTTTTTTGTCTTATTTCTTGTTTGTTTCACAATAAAAAATATTTTGCATCTTCAAAGTGGTAGGCATGTTGTGTAAATCAAATGATACAAACACCCCAAAAAATCTATTTTAATTCCAGGTTGTAAGGCAACAAAATAGGAAAAATTCCAAAGGGGGTGAATACTTTCGCAAGCCACTGTATTTCCATGTTAAAATGTTATGGAATGCATTTTCTTCCATTGTTTTTTATGGTAGGCCTACATTATGATCAAATAGCCACAGCCTACTTCACCACTGTTAAAACTAACTTAAAGCGGGTACAACCTCAGTGTTGACAGTAAATACGCGGCGGAAGTTGCATAGCATTGTCACAACGTTAAAATTTGCGATCAGCAGACCTGAAATTTGGGGGTACATTGCTTGTATCCTTGCACATCGGCTGGGTACTGGTACCCCGTGTATATAGCCAAGTTATCATTACTCATTGTGTATTTATTCCTCGTGTTATTGTCTTTCTATTATTTTTCTATTTTTCTCTCTGCATTGTTGGGAAGGGCATTTCACTGTTAGTATACACCTGTTGTTTACAAAGCATGTGACAAATACAATTTGATTTGAAAAGCGTCCATTAAATGTTAGGTTACTTTTTATATTTGTACCTTATTTTACCAAGTAAGTTGACTGAGAACACATTCTAATTTACTGCAATGACCTGGGGAATAGTTACAGGGGGAGAGGAGGTGGGATGAATGAGCCAATTGGAAGCTGGGGATGATTAGGTGTGGCCATGATGGTATGAGGGCTAGATTGGGAATGTTGCCAGGACACCAGGGTTAACGCCTATACTCTTACGATAAGTGCCATGGGATCTTTAGTGACCACAGAGTCAGGACACCTGTTTAACGTCCCATCCGAAAGACTGCACCCTGGGGAATTGGGATATTTAGACCAGAGGAAAGAGTGCTTTCTACTGGCTCTCCAACACCACTTCCAGCAGCATCTGGTCTCCCATCCAGGGACCGACCAGGACCAACCCTGCTTAGCTTTAGAGGCAAGCCAGCAGTGGTCTGTCTTAACTGTCTGTGTAATATATTAGCTATGTATGCTACTTAGAAGGCAGAAAGTCTAACCTGTCACCCTTCTCCAGGTGTTTGAGGTGAACGCGTCGTCCCAGCGGAGCGGCCGTCAGATCCTGTCCCAGCTGAAGGAGGCCACCCAGTCCCACCAGGTGGACATCCAGGGGGTCAACGCCCACAAACCGTGCTACTTCAGCAGCAGCAGCTCCACTGCCAGGCCTGGATCCTCACCACGTAAGTTTAGAAGAAGTTTGCCTTTCTTCTTGTAGCCCAAGAGAATCTCTTAGGACTACTTTGATAGAAAGTTGATAGTTTGACACTGATAAAATCTATAAGAGATAAATGGGTAACAAACCTGAGCACCATCTCCCGTTGGCCTAAATCTATGGTATCTTCCATGGAAATTTCAGGTTACATGCCAGTTTAATTTTACACTTACATTTTAGTCATTTAGCAGACGCTCTTATCCAGAGCGACTTACAGGAGCAATTAGGGCAGGAGCAATTCGAATTAAATGCCTTGCTCAAGGGCACATCGACAGATTGTTCACCTAGTCGGCTCGGGATTCAAACCAGCGACCTTTCGGTTACTGGCCCAACCGTCTTAACCGCTATGCTACCTGCCGTCAGTTTCTTGAGTTATGATGTGTTATATGTGACCCATAGTGTATACAGTAGGATTCCTAAAGATCCAGGTTGACAGGTGATGATTCTGCTCTCCATCTCCCAGGGAAGGTGAACTCTCCTCGACGGGTGGTGTCCTCCCCCAGGAAGCCCCCCCAGTCCCCCCGTGGTGCCAAGAGGGGAGGCCTGGCCCCCACCTCCCTGGCCAACTTCTTCAAAATGGGCCGACCTGGTCCCACCAACAAGGAACCTGCCAGTGCCAGCCAAGACCAAGAAGCAACCAACAGGTTAGAATGAATTCCTTGTCCTTCCTCCTCCCTAGCTTTAGGTTTCTGTCAGTCAGGTGTTAAACCGTTTAGGTCCCTAAATTAAACACAGCATGGAAGCTTTATTCCCTTCAGTTACTATATTGGATAAACCCTAGTCTAGTCCGCATACATAGTAAGTCAGAACTAAATATAGGTGTTATTCACTTCTCCTCCCCCCTCCTTACAGCTGTTCCTAAGAAGACCAGTAAAGCCAAGGAGAGTTCCAGTAAGACTAAAGAGCCTCAGAACGGGCCTGCAGCAGCAGCCATCACCAAGGACTCCTCCTCCAGTGAAGAGCAGAGCAAGAAGACAGCCACGTCACTCATTCTCTTTGAGGAGGTGGATGTCGTCTTCGACGACGACTCTGGGTTCCTGGCTGCCATCAAAACGTTTATGACCACCACCAAGAGACCGGTGATCCTCACCACCAGTGGTGAGTGAGGGAGCAATCCATATTTCATGGTGGAAGACTAAGTTATGGTTCATGTTTGTACACTGTATGTGACATGAATAGCACAGACAGAAGGTGACGCACTGTGAGTTGAACCTTTTTCTCTCTTCTAGATCCCACCTTCAGTACCATGTTTGATGGCTACTTTGAGGAGATCCATTTCAAAACACCCTCAGTGGTAAGAAAGCCATTGAACTACAAACCTATTCCGATTGTTTTAGCGGGATTTTTATTTATTTGTGTACTCGACAGAGTAACGTTGAAGGTGTATTATTTTAAGCATGCTTTCTAGTTGCACAGGAAGAATGTTAATTTATACTAGGAAACTCTTATGGTCCTTTAGGGCCATTTGTGTATGTTGGTGTGTAGCTCCTTCATACAGGTGCATGAGTATGTGTGGTTGTAACACCTCTCTTTCCCCTATACAGGTCAATGTGGGGAGCTACCTGCAGCTGCTGTGCCTGGCTGAGAACATGCGTACGGACGCCCGTGACGTCTCCTCTCTGCTCCACCTGAACGGCTGTGACATCCGCCAGAGCCTTCTTCACCTCCAGTTCTGGAGCTGCTCCGCAGGGGGGTGGAAGCTACCCCGTCCCCTCCCAGACTCAGCCCCCACAGGTGAGGACATAGTTGTGTTCACTAAATAACTGTATAAACAACGCTGCCTATTAATACTGAATTGTTACTCATAGTGATAAATGTTGTTTTTTATGTTGCATATTCAGCGACAGAACTCAAGCCAAAGACCGAGGAGACAGCAGGGGGGGCTTTGGTGAGTGAGGGGGTGACCCTATTAGGTCCCCTGCCCCCCTGTGACACAGGCTGCACAGAGAGCATGCTGGGGCTGCTGAACATGGAGCCAGAGAGGGACATGCAGGATCTGTTCAAGGTTGGTTGTCAAAAGTCTCAAAAGGACACTCAATATCCTTTTTGCATGTTTTGACCGGTCTCTTGTGGTATGATCTCTCATAATTAGAATCCCTATGTCAAAGCACCTTCTCAGAGTCACTTTGTTATCTATAAGTTAGTATGGAAGTATTGAAGCATAACCACAATCTGTCTTCTCAGAGCCAGTCCACAGTGGCGCCAGGTTGCTGGGAACTGCTGATCACCAGCAAGAGAAGAGGAATAGACCTGCTCTACTCCAACATGGAGGCCCTGCTTCCCTTACCCACCACACACCTCACTGTCACAACCCACAGGCGGCCACAGGAAGTGAGCAACCGGACACAGGAAGAGCCCAGCGCTGATCCACAGGAAGTAGCCGCGAGTATGAATAGTATAAAGCCAGAGATTGATCCACCACTACCACCTCAGACTGAGGTTGATCCACTGCCCCACCCCAGGCTCCAGCAGGTGGCAGAGGGGTCGGAGACAGACGGGAGCCCGGTGAAGGTGTCCTCTAGAATGAAGAAGAAGAAGAAGAAGAAGCAGCAGCTGGGTACCCGAGAGGACCTGGACCCCTTTCACTCAGACTCGGATTCAGACGACGCCTTCCTCTCCCTCCGCTCTAAACCCCCTCCCAACGCCCCTCAGACACGGACGGCCTCCCAGTCGGAAAGGGAGTACGGTCAGGACGATTCTACCAGCAACAAGGTTGAACAAGAATCTGTGAAGGCTAGAGAGGAAGAGGTAAAGGAGAAGGCCCCTGCCCCGGTGAGGATGAGGAGGGTGCTGGTCACCCCGGAGCAGAGGATGAAGAATGAGCCTGTGTCCCGCTGCCTGGACTCCCTGGCAGAGTTCCTCGACCACATGTCCCTCCTGGACTCCTCCCTGCCCCTCCACACCTCACCTGTAGGTGGCGCCAAACACACACACAGGACGTTCGGCCTGAGAGCCAGAGCCGAGACTAAAGACGGGATGACGGACGAGCCCAGGGAGGAGTGCGACGGAGGGTGCTGGGTGGAAGGGGAGAGAGCGGGGGAGATCCAGGCTGCTGTGGAGGCTCTGAGCTTCCAGAGGTGCAGGGCCGGGGTAGAGGAGGCGTGGGGTAAAGCCCAAGGTCTAGAGGGGGAACTGGGGAAGGAGGCTGTGAACGAGCTCACACTCCCTGTGGCCCCGCACAGACAGGGCTTCAGACTCACGCAGGACAGCCCCTGTGCACCAAAGTGAGTCTTCTTGTCTGTTTGTCCTTCACTGTATGGCTTATAATGATCAGTTGGCAGGGTATTGCTTACTATGAAAAGTATTATGAATTTAGGATATGTAAAATATTGTATTATTGTATTAATTATTTATTTGATCGGTGAGTATAATTGTAGTATTCAACATATCCTCAAAGAAAAGTTTAATTTGGTAGATATTGGATAATCAATCGATCACATTTATGTATTAAGCCCTTTTTACATCAGAAGTTGTAACAAAGTGCTTTTAAGGAATCTAACCTAACCTGTTTGCTTTTGTTGTTCCTCCAGAGTTCTCCAGAGGCGGAGGGAGGTGATGGACATTCTACCCAGCCGAGTGGCAGGGACACTGGGTAACAGACCTGCTGCAGCCCTGGACTTCCTTCCCTTCCTACGGACCATCTGCCGATCAGAGACGCTCAAGGAGCAGGGCAAGGTTAAACGCAGGTGAGAGGTCAGGGGTTATAGGTGATGGATGTGGATGTGGAAGTCGGGATTAGAGTTAAACAGGGTTTTAGGGGGACACCCAGCTCTGGTCCACCCCAAGTCTCTAGTCTCATTCAGTATAGATTGATATCTAGAGACTTAGCTGCTCTCCATTCAGTATAGATTGATATCTAGAGACCTAGCTGCTCTCCATTCAGTATAGATTGATATCTAGATACTTAGCTGCTCTCCATTCAGTATAGATTGATATCTAGAGACTTAGCTGCTCTCCATTCAGTATAGATTGATATTTTACATTTTTAGTAATTTAGCAGACGCTCTTATCCAGAGCGACTTACAGTTAGTGAGTGCATACATCGTTTTTATTTTTCATACTGGCCCCCCGTGGGAATCGAACCCACAACCCTGGCGTTGCAAACGCCATGCTCTACCAACTGAGCTACATCCCTGCCGGCCATTCCCTCCCCTACCCTGGACGACGCTGGGCCAATTGTGCGCCGCCCCATGGGTCTCTCGGTCGTGGCCGGCTACGACAGAGCCTGGATTCGAACCAGGATCTCTAGTGGCACAGCGATGCAGTTCCTTAGACCACTGCGCCATATCTAGAGACTTAGCTGCTCTCCATTCAGTATATATTGATATCTAGAGACTTAGCTGCTCTCCATTCAGTATAGATTGATATCTAGAGATTTAATGCAATTTTTGGGGGGTCTGTATACTGTTATTCAGCTTTTAGCTGTGAATGTGTACAAGACGGCCTAACCAATACTATTAAAATCCTTGATATATACAGAGTGTACAAAACATTAGGAACACCTTGCTAATATTGAGTTGCACCCCTTTTTTGCCCTCAAGAACAGCCTCAGTTCGTCGTGGGGCATGGACTCCCACAGTTGTGTCAAGTTGGCTGGGTGTCCATTGGGTGGTGGACCATTTTTGATACACACGGGAAACTGTTGAGCGTGAAAAACCCAGCAGCGTTGCAGTTCTTCACACAAACCTCTACTACCATACCCCGTTCAAAGGCACTTACATTTTTTGTCTTGCCCATTCACCTTCTGAATGGCACACATCCTTCTTTAACCTGTCTCCCCCCATTCATTTACACTGATTTGAAGTGGATTTAACAGGTGACATCAATAAGGGATCAGAGCTTCCACCTGGATTCACCTAGTCAGTCTATGTCATGGAAAGAGCAGGTGTTCCTAATGTTTTGTACACTTTGTGTATATTATTAGTCAGGCATAATGTACGGGTATATCACATTTTGATAGTGCTGGACAGAGGAAATATATGGTATTTGAGTTAAGCCTTCACACGGTTATGTCTTGCTCTCACACTCTTAAAATGATGGAATAGGAAAGTGGTCTCTTTTTCAAATGACATGTCAAAGTTTTAATAATAATAATAATGAAGTGGGTACTTACATTTGTCCTAATAAACACATGTAAAAGCACGTGTGAATTGGATATTTGTTTTTTGCATATCCCACCCCTGGGATCAGCCATTATTGACGATGACCCTGGAGCAATTGGTTAAGTGCCTTGCTCAAGAGCACATCGACAGATGTTTCACCTAGTCAGCTCAGGGATTTTAACCAGTGACCTTTTGGTCACTGGCCCAACGCTCCTAACCACTAGGCTACCTGCCGCTCTTGATGCACGTTTCCATCCTCACTTCTCTATCATACCCTAGGCTGTGGATCTGAGGTATGTTTCAGACTGACAGTAGTTATTTGAATCTAGTTGTTTATTTCTTCCATAGAAACCCACAGGTCAGTGAGGTCACTTATCTTCATGCTCATTAGATCTAGATTCCTGAGAACTAACTGCAGTCACACACTTCAAAATAATTTATCCAGATACCTTGACACCATACTGTAATAATTTAGTTTGATATGGATGATACAGTTGAAGTCTGAAGTTTACATACACCTTAGCCAAATACATTTAAACTCATTTTCACAATTCCTGACATTTAATCCTAGTAAAAATCCCTTTCTTAGGTCAGTTAGGATCACCACTTTATTTTAAGAATGTGAAATGTCAGAATAATAGTAAAGAGAATGATTTATTTCAGCTTTATTTCTTTCATCACATTCCCGGTGGGTCAGAAGTTTACATACACTCAATTAGTATTTGGTAGCATTGCCTTTAAATTGTTTAACTTGGGTCAAACATTTCAGGTAGCTTTCCACAAGTTTCCCACAATAAGTTGGGTGAATTTTGGCCCATTCCTCCTGACAGAGCTGGTGTAACTGAGTCAGGTTTGTAGGCCTCCTTGCTCATACACGCTTTTTCAGTTCTGCCCACAAATGTTCTATTGGATTGAGGTCAGGGCTTTGTGATGGCCACTCCAATACCTTTACTTTGTTGTCCTTAAGCCATTTTGCCACAACTTTGGAAGTATGCTTGGGGTCATTGTCCATTTGGAAGACCCATTTGCGACCAAGCTTTAACTTCCTGACTGATGTCTTGAGATGTTGCCACCCCCGTGCTTCACGGTTGGGATGGTGTTCTTTGGCTTGCTAGCTCCCCCTTTTTCCTCCAAACATAACGATGGTCATTATGGCCAAACAGTTCTATTTTTGTTTCATCAGACCAGAGGACATTTCTCCAAAAAGTACGATCTTTGTCCCCATGTGCAGTTGCAAACCGTAGTCTGGCTTTTTTATGGCAGTTTTGGAGCAGTGGCTTCTTCCTTGCTGAGCGGCCTTTCAGGTTATGTCGATATTGGACTCGTTTTACTGTGGATATAGATACTTTTGTACCTGTTTCCTCCAGCATCTTCACAAGGTCCTTTGCTGTTGTTCTGGAATTGATTTGCACTTTTCTCACCAAAGTACGTTCATCTCTAGGAGACAGAACGCGTCTCCTTCCTGAGTGGTATGACAGCTGCGTGATCCTATGGTGTTTATACTTGCGTATTATTGTTTGTACAGATGAACGTGGTACCTTCAGGCGTTTGGAAATTGCTCCCAAGGATGAACTAGACTTACTTTTCTGAGGTCTTGGCTGATTTCTTTTGATTTTCCCATGATGTCAAGCAAAGAGGCACTGAGTTTGAAGGTAGGCCTTGAAATACATCCACAGGTACACCTCCAATTGACTCAAATGATGTCAATTAGCCTATCAGAAGCTTCTAAAGCCATGACATCATTTTCTGGAATTTTCCAAGCTGTTTAAAGGCACAGTCAACTTAGTGTATGTAAACTTCTGACCCACTGGAATTGTGATACAGTGAATTATAAGTGAAATAATCTGTCTGTAAACAATTGTTGGAAAGATTACTTGTGTCATACACAAAGTAGATGTCCCAACCGACTTGCCAAAACTATAGTTTGTTAACAAGAAATTTGTGGAGTGGTTGAAAAACGAGTTTTAATGACTCCAACCTAAGTGTTTGTAAACTTCCGACTTCAACTGTAGATGGACAGATGTAGTCTCAACAAGAAAGGTTGTGTGCTTTGGGTTTGCTATTCTACCCGGTTGCACCTCTTGTATGTAGTTTAAGCTGAGGGTGGGGATGGGTAGAGGATGGTATGTTAGTCTATGGACAGGATGTGGGTTAGTGCATTACTAATCACCCACAGCATGTCTTTCTCTGTAGCTCGTGTCTATAAAAGTCTGGGGTTGAGGTTACACTACCGGTCAAAAGTTTTAGAACACCTACTCATTCAAGGGTTTTTCTTTATTTTTACTATTTTCTACATTGTAGAATAATAGCGAAGACATCAAAACTATGAAATAACACATGGAATCATGTAGTAACCAAAAAAGTGTTAAACAAATCAAAATATATGTTATATTTGAGATTCTTCAAATAGCCACCCTTTGCCTTGATGACAGCTTTGCACACCCTTGACATTCTCTGAACCAGCTTCACCTGGAATGCTTTTCCAACAGTCTTGAAGGAGTTCCCACATATGCTGAGCACTTGTTGGCTGCTTTTCCTTCACTCTGTGGTCCGACTCATCCCAAACCATCTCAATTTGGTTGAGGTCGGGGGATTGTGGGGGCCAGGTCATCTGATGCAGCACTCATCACTCTCCTTCTTGGTAAAATAGCTCTTACACAATGAAGAAAATAGTTTTTAAAAAATAAAGGAAAACCCTTGAATGAGTAGGTGTTCTAAAATGTTGACCGGTAGTGTATGTGTATAGGATAAATATATACACATTTACATTACGTTGTAGTCATTTAGCAGATGCTCTTATCCAGAGCGACTTAGTTAGTAATATATTATATTATCCCTGTGTGCTGCACTAAAAAGGCCATCTAGGAATGTGCTACAGTATGCCTGTCACTTATCTAAATGATTTGACTTAAGTTTGAACATTTCTTTCTCCCCCCACTTTAGGTTCCTCCACTACCTGGATGCCATTCACCTCGGCCTTTCCAAGAACACTCTACAATACCTAGCAGAGGACTTCCCTTGAACTAGAGAGAAGTGCACTGGTGTTTCTCAAATAGGGGGTTTAAGGACATTCAGTTCCGCCATTTGAGGCTTGATGACAGTATGAAAGCAATCATTAGCAGGGTTGATGTGATCCTAACTTGGGTCATATTCATTAGGTACCGAATGGAATAAATCAAACTGACACAAGGAGGGACTGACAACCTGAGCTTGTCGAATTAGAAAGGCAAAACGTTTTGCTACGGTGTGCCAAAATGAATACAACCCCTTGATTGCTACTAAAGTCAATGACCAGAAATCTGCGGATCAATTCCCTCTTTGGATCTGGAGTGAGGTTCATCATGGATCCCTTCGAAGAGTGCTGTAACTCTATTCGCCTGTTCAATATGCATTTGTACAGTAATATAAAAACGGGAGTGTGTTTTAGTGTAAATGTGTATCAGTACGTTTTTATAGTTTGTGGCTTTTACGGAGATGTGCCTAATGTTTTTGTATTCTGCTTTGCATTTGGCAAAGCGTTTCATTAACTAATAAATTTGAAGGTTCTATGTTGAGAGATCATTTGTAAGATTTGAATAACATACTTGTAGAAATACACTTGTAGAAATTGTCAGTTTAAAAGGGTGTGTTGCTTTTGTTGTCAAACTACACAATATTAACACAATCCTGTTCAAGCACTCTTTTAAGTATGACTTCTTTTTTTTTTTTACTGTTCATATAATATAAAGCCCACCCACTTTACCAGTCCTAAGTGTTATTCTCTCATGAATCACAATGGCTTCATTATTTGAGTGAATAAAGGTTTGTATCTAATTGCAGGGTAGGATCAGTGATGTATATAAACCCTGGATTGCTGATGCTTTGTATTGGCCAATGAGAGGCTTTGAAGCCACCAGTCGGCTATATTGGCACTTCAGAAAAGCAGTCCTCCATAGGAATGAATGGAATTCTACAGTATTTTATTTAAATGTTTCATGGACTAAATTAAATGTTTTAAAGTGTTTTTTTTGTTGTTGTTGTAGTGGGGACCGAAACATTAGTACTTTAATATGCCATTAAGCTAAATGTTTTTATATATTTTTTCATTTATGTTTAGCTTACATAATATAATTTAAAAGTATGTGTTAAGGTGTCTAATAGAATAAACATGGCAAAAACGAATGTAAACATTGGTAAATGCATTTTTATAGCTTCCCCACAAAAAATTATAACAGTGGAGGCGCAGTTGCTTCAAAACCGCGCCCTGTCAGCGTGTATATATAAATCATTGGGTAGGATGTATTTTTTGAAATATAAACATGAATTAAGTCGGGTTAGATTGTTGTGATCAATCTAATGTAACAGAAATGATAATGAAATATTTTTGTATTGCTTATTTCTTTCGGTAAATTAATGTAATGCCCCGTGTAGCTCAGTTGGTAGCGATGGCGCTTGCAACGCCAGGGTTGTGGGTTCGATTCCCACGGGGGGTCAGGGGGGCCGTATGAAAATATATGCACTCACTAACTGTAAGTCGCTCTGGATAAGAGCGTCTGCTAAATTACGTAAATGTAATAAAGCTTGGAAATAAAAAAGGACACTTGTAAAAAGCCGCAGACGCGGCGTGTGAAACAAAACCACACGCGTCATGTTTACATTTCTGAAGAGGTTGCCTATTCAGTAGTGGGCGGTTACAAAAGAAAAATCACATGCATTTTACGTTCACAGGCACAAGTAATGATCCTACATACCGTACTGGTACAGAAGTTCCAGTTTTCGTCCAAACTCACAGAAACGTCACCATTTGTATTTCGTTATGTAAACGGATAATTACACCACTCATTTCGATACAGATTTATATTCGCAAAATAATGGCAAACAAGGATCGAAACAAAACAATATTGCTGGAATTGGGGAAACTGCCAGACAACAATCAATGCGCAGACTGTGGCGCGCCGGGTGAGTGACAATGTAGTTCCATTTAAATCCTAGTCAATTCAGGATATGAGTTATGGATGAAGTTGCCAATGAGTGTACTGTTTGTTCACATGAATTAAATAAACCCATGTTCTGTATGTGTGTGGTGTGTTAAATAATCATGTGTAGGGTAAATGCTTGTGTGTGTCATCTAGATATTGCATTCTCCCTACTTTCAAAGCACGTTATACACAACAATAACAACTTCTACCTACAAGGCCTGCACGCTCATTAGGCAGGATTAGGCGACCGCATATGGCGGCAGTTTGAAGAGGGCGGCATTTTCTGAGCAAAACTGACCAATACGCACCTCCAACAACACATACAACCTCACATAATTCTGTCCAAAAACAATGACAATTTCTCTCAACCAGTGGCATATGGGCATTTTAGGTGAGCGCTGATGCCGCCCTGTGATAAGTAGTGGCCACTTTGTTAAAGGCAGGGGCGCAAACATATTTAGCTTGTCCATTCCCAGCGCGCCTCTCCGGAGTGCTGTTGGAGAGACATCGCTGCCATGCTCCACCAACGTTCCGTCAAAAAAAACGTTCTAACATAAATCATGTAGCATATATAGTAGCCTATATGGTAGAAATAGGATGTGGCATTTTCTGTAGCCTACAGGCTGGAGATGAAATGTATGACAATGTAATGAGACATCGTGCAGGTTTCTCCGATCAAATAGCCTAACCTAAATGGCGCCCAATCAAATAAAAAATGTGCTGACATGTTAACGAACAATATATTGGGTGCGTTCATAAATTAACTCTGGCTATCTACTCCCATTTCAGAGCACTCTCGTCTTGTGCCAGAGCGCAGAATAACATGAATTTACGAACGCGCAACACCCGTTGAATATGACCGGTGTCAGTAAACGTCGGCAAAAAAAAAGTTATTAAATTGTTGCCAGCAGCACAGTTACAGTCACCAACGTTCTAGATAACATGAAAACAGCCTAACCAGTTCTGCTAGTACGAGTAAAATGGTCAGAGTGAGGTGTTCTCTCATTTGTGTCTGGAAGTAGCTAGCTAGCCAAGTTAGCTTGTGTTACTGACTGCGGTTGTGAGGTCAGAACGCTCGGATCAACCCTACTCCCCCGCCGGAGCGTTCAGTGTGCGCTCTCAACGCTCCGAAAGCGAAACGCTCTGAATTCACGAACGGACCATCTAACAACGCTCTGAATATACGAGGGCACTCTGCCAGTCCTAAATTAATTTATGAACACGCCATAGAAATATGCTTACACATTCGAATGTCTCTCACCCTATCACACAATGTTATGCAAATTAGTTGCTGTATGTGACGATGATGCTGGGGCATGCCGAGGGAGAGTTTTTCGAGAGGCACTTGTGTGCGTCGGATTAGTTCTGGGGTGCACTGTGTTCATCCAAATAAATTACAACTTGTTTATTTTATGGGAAATCGTCATCCTAGACTGTTTATGCTAGTCAACAAACTACATGTGAATTTCGGTGGCCTTACAGGCTCATTACAATATCCTAAAAACAGGACAGCACCAGCCATTACCACAAGCCCTTCCTCCCCAATTAAGGTGCCACCAACCTCCTGGGGTGTAAACACATTGCAAATAGGCTCAGTATAAAGTTGGGTAGCTGATATTCCGAGTTTAAATAGCCAAATTGATTAGTCACAGGAATCAGGACTAATAAAGTCAATGCAATGGCCTGTTTTACAAACAGTGGGCCTAACACATGGATGGGCATGCCAAAAATTCCATTGCAGGCGGACAGGGTAGGCTACACCCCAGGAAGCACCGACATCTTTTGGACCAACAGTCATTTTTTGGTGCAGTCCAGACCGGCCTTGATTTCCACATCCACGGACGTTGGTTTTTGGTCCGGTCTGGACAAGCCTTGATTTGGGCCAAACATAGACGTCTACAGTATGTTTGGTTCAGATTTGGTCCAGTCTGGACCAGCCTTGATTTGATCCAAACATGATCTATAAATTACATATTTTCAAATTTAATTCAGAACCGAAAATGAACCTGATTTCAATGTCCGGAAAATACGTATTTTCACCTTTCATTCAGAAACTAAATTGAACGTAACGTCAACGTCTGGAAAATATGTATTTTAGACGTCTTTTCAACTTCATTTTGCTTACTGGGACTATTCTAGTTTTGCAGGGGCAGCAATATTTTTGACTTGCCTAGGGCGGCAGAATGGCCAGGACCAGCCCTGATCACCATTGACCATTTTGATAGATATCAGTGATTTTCAGTGCTGATTGACACCACACAGAGATGGTCATTCATTCTTTGATCTCTGTTTTTCCATAAGCTTTGAGTGATCTTGAGAGTCTTGTCTCTTTCTGGTGATCCTCCCGTCCTCTGCATACACTGTATAGATCCTGACTGGGCGTCCTATAAGCTGGGTGTGTTTGTGTGTCTGAACTGCTCTGGAGTGCACCGCAACCTGTCCAACATCAGCCGCGTCAAATCCATACGGCTCGACTTCTGGGATGACGAGCTAGTGGAGGTACTGAATGGATCTCTTACAGCAGTGGTCACCACCAACCATGGTTCTGGAGATCTACAGGGTGTTCAGGTGTTCATTCCAGCCCAACACTAACCAGATCAATCCATCAACAAATCATCATTAATTTTTGCTGGGGTGGAATTAAAGCCTTCACAACCAATATCTCTTCAAGACCAGGTTTTGTGACCACTACATGACAATTTCACTCCTGGTCCTCATCTTGGAGGACCACTTTTGATACTGGTTTGGTTTGCAATCTTAATTAATACAATATATTTGTGTTCTCTGTTTTCTTCTTTTGGGGTGTTTGTTTGTGAACGAAGTTCATGAAAACCAATGGAAACGCCACAGCCAGAGCCGTCTATGAGAAAGCAGTCCCAGCGTTCTACTACCGGCCCCAGCAAGAAGACTGTGCGTAAGTGTTGCCATCCCAGGTCATTTCACTACTTCACTGACACTACAGTGTACTTGACATTGGGCACTAGTTTTTGTAATTTAATGTCTGTCCTCAAATCATCCTCTGGCTGGTGGTACAAACGAATGGCAGCATTTAGAGAAGTTGAAGGATGCTGACTTTGCACAGCAATGTAGGAAGAGGAAGGAAAGGATTGTATTGTTTAAAAAAACTAAAAAAAACAGAAGTGGTACTTCTGACAATGGAATTATAAATAATTTAACCAGTCAGTACATTTTTGTCTCTCCCTCCCAATGAATGTTAAAAAAAAAAAAAATGCAATGGACAATGCTTTGGGTTTCTATGCACCCTGTCTAAAGCAATGCAGGAGAAACTCTGGACTCAATGATCCGATAAGCCTGTTATACTGTAGAACATCTCATCCCTTTTACCCCTAGTGTCCTAAGGGAGCAGTGGATAAGAGCTAAATATGAGAGGACAGAATTTACCGGCGAGACAAAGTATCCTCCACTGGCCTACACGACAGGTGAACTGGCTTTACTGCTTGTCTGTGGACGTTCAAATGACTTATATTATATCACATATTATAACACTTATAACACATATTATAACACATAGAACCTCTGCCTTTTCTTCTATATTTCTATATATATTCTATTCTTTTAATTTTGGTCCTCTGTAGCTCAGTTGGAAGAGCATGGCTCTTGAAACGCCAGGATAGTGGGTTTGATAAAAGCGTCTGCTAAATGATCCATTTGTTTTTACACTGCTGCTACTCACTGTTTATTATGTATGAATAGTCACTTTACCTCTACCTACATGTACAAATTACCTCGACTACCCTGTACCCCCACACATTGACTCGGTACCGGTACCCCCTGTATATATAGCCTCGTTATTGTTATTTTATTGTGTAACTTTTTTTATTTTTTTTCCTTAGTTTATTTAGTAAATATTTTCTTAAGCCTTTCTTGAACTGCATTGTTGATTAAGGGCTTGTAAGTAAGCATTCACGGTAAGGTCTACACCTGTTGTATTCAGCGCATGTGACAAATACAATTTGATTTGATTTGATACATTGAAGTGTCTGCTAAATGACATACATTGAAACGCCTGCTAAATGACACATTGAAATATAAATATTGCCCACAGTGAGGCATTTTGCAGGGTCAATGTAGTTTGTTCATCATAGAATGACAAGAAAAACCTGTTCTTGCCACACTGACACTTCTGTGGCAGAGCATCGTTTACTTGAGTGAAAACCACACCCAGGGACATGATAGAGGGCACATTTCTTTAGAGCAATACCCACATGTATTGATGAGTTGCGGAAATGTAACAGAGTACATTTCATTGGGTCCATTTCAGGTTTCTATGAAGGGATGTTGTGGAAGAAGGGGAAGGAGAAGGGACAGTTTCAGAGAAGGAAGTTTGTTCTGTCTGAGAAGGAATTCACCCTGGCTTACTACAACAAGGAGGATGTAAGTGTGAGGTCATTGACTTGCTGGGTAGCTTTGCTGCAGGGCTACATTACTAAACTGTTTATGGTCACATACTTTGAAAGTGTGACTCTACTGAAAGGTGAAAAGAGTTCAGTGCCATAGATCTGCTAATATTTACAAGGGTTCACTTGTGATTCATCTTAACATTTATCATTTGACTATGACGTACGTTCAGTTTTATCTCAAGTCAGGCTTACAAATACTCCAACTGTTGACTGTCTTAAGGCACATTGTTGTGTTTTCACTGGGCTTGCCTTGTACGCATCATCACTCTGCGCCCTCAGCCGTCCAAAGGGCCCAAAGCGCTCATCTCCATCAAAGACGTGAATGTGACCTTTCAACCTGAGAAGATTGGTCACGCCCATGGTTTGCAGATGACCTACCAGGAAGACAGCCACACCAGAAGCCTTTATGTCTACCACGAGAGTGGAGAGGTAGGCATTTCTTTCTGTATTTCTCTCTTCATTATAGAAGAGTAGCTTTTGTATAGCCTGGTGATCAACGATCTGTCACTGTGTGTTTTATCCAACTCCTTTGCCATATGTTTGTTATGAAAGTGAAAACTACAGAGGAGTTGGCTAAATCACAAACTGATCTCCCGGTACTACCAGGTGAGATAAGAGAAAGACGTTTGCCGTCACATGGCCTCATCCAATACGTGAGGAAGTGAGCAAGAAGCAATGCAAAAATATTTACAACTTTGCAAAACAAGCTTTTGTTCGTGCTTTTGTCTGAGATCTTTGCCGTTCCGCTTGTATTCACAGTTAGTAGGAGATCGTTTTTATGGCATCCTCCTGTAGCAGATTATGCTGTATATCAGTGTGTAAAGCTTACTAGTCTTCCCTGCTCAGGAGATTGTCAACTGGTTCAATGCCATTCGTGCTGCTCGCTTTGCCTACCTGAAAACAGCATACCCCACAGGAAGTGATAAAGAAGTAAGTGTTTATTAGACTATATTTCAGTAAAGTTCTCTCTGGTATATGCCCTTCTTTTCAACCATGTTTGTACTGGCACAGTATCTCTATTTCCATCAAATCAGAGGCTACCAATGTCCCCCCCACATGAATTTGGTATTTTGATTGTACCCTGTAGACCATTCACTTTAGGGTGTAAATATTGTACTATAAATTGTGCATTCCTGTATTATACTTATGCTAAAATGTCTATTCTATTCTACTGAGCCGTTTACTTTATGTTCATATTCTTATATGTTCATATTTCTTATTGTTGTTGCATTGTCCAGAAGGAACCTGCAAGTAAGCGTTTCATTGGACAGTGTATACCATGTGTATCCTGTACATACGACTAATAAAACTTGAAACTTTAGGGTGTTGTTATGCCATGTGAAGACAGACTTTTATGAACCAATGCATTAGAGGAAGTTCTACAAGTTTCAGATTTGAGAGGGTGCCTAAGGATATATTCAGCAACCGTAGCGATCAACAACTACCATTGCAATTAGCAATAAATTAACTGATACTTATAAATGCTTCTTCTGTATTCCTCTTCATTATGTGTATTCTGACAGTTGATGACTAGAATTACAAGAAACTACCTCAAAGAAGGATACATGGAGAAGACAGGTCCTATGGTAGGTAGTTACTTTGTGATTATCATACTAAATAATGACATTGGATAGAAGAAACGTAAAGTGACCTGGTTGTTACAATGTAATCGCATTATGAACATAGTGACAATAAAGTGTATTTGTTGGGTAGCAAAAGGAGACGTTCAAAAAGAGATGGTTCATCTTGGACTCCCAAGACAGGAAGCTCCTTTACTTCAAAAGCCAGCTGGTAAGAAAGGAATCCACCTCCTCATCATCTCAAAAGGGTGTGTGTGTGTGTGTGTATTCGCTGTGTACGTGTGTGTGTGTACCTGTGTGTATGACTCGAATCCTAATCTCTACACTATCAGCATGTTGTGTGTGTGTCTGTCTACTACAGGATGCTGAGGAGCTGGGAGTTGTGTTCATCGGCACAGAGACCAATGGTTACTCAGTGAGTAAGTGCATTCCCAAAAGGACCAGAGGCAACAGGTGGAGGTGTGGCATCACAGTGGAGACGCCAGACCGCCAGTTTGTCTTCATGTGTGAGCAGGAGAGGGAGCAGAGAGAGTGGGTGGAGGCCCTCAGACAGGTTATCTCTAAACCCATGCAGCCCCAGGACTACACCAGTAAGAGCCGTGTCACCAGTATTCACACCACAGGAGGCTCCTGAGGGGAGGACGGCTCATAATAATGGGCAGAACGGAGCAAATGGAATGCCATCAAACACATGGAAACCATGTGTTTGATGTATTTGATACCATGCCACGGATTCCGCTCCAGCCTTTACCACGAGCCCGTCCTCCCCAATTAAGGTGCCACCAACCTCCTGTCACACACACACACACACACATTATGACAGACACACTATGCACATACTGTACATAGTATATATTCATACACCATATGGTGAATAAACTAATGTACTCTTTTCTGGCTTGTCTTGTTTCAGCTGAAGCCAACATCAGAGGGAAGAGATGACTTTCATGAGAGAGAGAGAGAGAGAGAGAGAGAGAGAGAGAGAGAGAGAGAGAGAGAGAGAGAGAGAGAGAGAGAGAGAGAGAGAGAGAGAGAGAGAGAGAGAGAGAGAGAGAGAGAGAGAGAGAGAGAGAGAGAGAGAGAGAGAGAGAGAGAGAGAGAGAGAGAGAGAGAGAGAGAGAGAGAGAGAGAGAGAGAGAGAGAGATTCCACCAACATTGGCTGCAAAGCCCACTCTGAAAACTATCACACTTGTGGATTGCTATCTACACTGAACAAAAATATAAACGCAACAATTTCAAAGATTTTACTGAGTTACAGTTCATGTAAGGAAATCAGTCAATTGAAATAAATAAATAAAGCCCTAATCTATGGATTTCACGACTGGGAATAGATACAGAAAACCAGTCCCACTGCTCTTCAATGGCTGTGCGAAGTTGATGGATACTGGCGGGAACTGGAACACACTGTCGATCCAGAGCATCCCAAATATGCTCAATTAGTGACATGTCTGGTGAGTATGCAGGCCATGGAAGAACTGGGACATTTTTAGCTTCCAAGAATTGTGTACAGATCCTTGCGACATGAGGCGTGCATTATCATGCTGAAAGTTGAGATGATGGCGTCCTATGAATGGCACGACAATGGGCCTCAGGATCTCATCACGGTATCTCTATGCAGTCAAATTGCCATCGATAAAATGCAATTGTGTTCATTGTCCGTAGCTTATGCCTGCCCATATCATAACCCCACCGCCACCATGGGGCACTCTGTTCACAACGTTGACATCAGCAATCCGTTCACCCACACAACGCCATACACGCTGTCTGCCATCTGCCCGGTACAGTTGAAACCGGGATTCATACGTGAAGAGTACACTTCTCCAGTGTGCCAGTGGCCATCGAAGGTGAGCATTTTCTCACTGAAGTCGGTTACGACGCTGAACTGCAGTGAGGTCAAGACCCTGGTGAGGACGACGAGCACGCAGATGAGCTTCCCTGAGACTGTTTCTGACAGTTTGTGCAGAAATTATTCGGTTGTGCAAACCCACAGTTTCACCAGCGATCCCGCACGTGAAGAAGCCGGATGTGGCGGTCCTGGGCTGGCGTGGTTACTTGTGGTCTTTGGTTGTGAGGCCAGTCGGATGTACTGCCAAATTCTCTAAAACGACGTTGGAGGCGGCTTATGGTAGAGAAAGTAACATTCAATTATCTGGCAACAGCGCTGATGCTCATTCCAGCAATCAGCATGCCAATTGCACACTACCTCAAAATCTGTGGCATAATGTTGTGTGACAAAACTGCACATTTTAGAGTGGCCTTTTATTGTCCCCAGCACAAGGTGCACCTGTGTGATGATCATGCTATTTAATCAGCTTCTTGATATGCTACATCTCTCAGGTGGATGGATTATCTTGGCAAAGGAGACATTTTCACTAACAGGGATGTAAACAAATTTGTGCACAAAAATTGAGATAAATAAGCTTTTTGTGCATCTGGAAAATATCAGCTCATGAAACATGGGACCAACACTTTACATGTTGCATTTATATTTTTGTTCAGTATATAAGAGAACTTCCAGTATCACTGAATAGAATGTATCCCCCTTACTGACAGCAGGACCCTAAATATATGACTCCTTGGAGGACAATGTCTAGGACTGTGGGTTTATGTACAACGCAGATACTTGACGACTGCCATAGTTCTACTGGAATTGTTGAAAAACGAATTTGGGCAGTAATGTCTCACCACAAATTATGGACAAATACTACATGCCTTCCTGGCATGGAAGGTGAAATTGTTGTTCTCAAATCTTTCGTATTAAAATGGCAGAAAGAGCTGTGTGTCCCGTGTGTAGTTGTTTTATGTGTGAAGCCAGGTCAATTCTGTCGCTATGAGAAAGTAAACGCGTGTGTGTGTGCATACATGGTATAAAATTGCATCTACAATATCAACTGTGATAGTATCTAATACCAACTGTGATCTCTAATATAAACTGTGATAATATATAATACCAACTGTATGTATTAGAAGGGTATATTTTTAGCCCTTTTCTTAAACAAATGGTATGGCATCCTTGCCTCCTCCATCATCTCACAATACAATCAAATCAAGCCACTACATTTTAATTCCAAGTCAGGTCTTATTTGGAAAGGAGACAGTCAGCAGGAAAATCTGCGCGCAGGTGACTGGGTTGGACGGAATATAGCGGAAACGGAGGTTTTCCCTCTTTCCCGAAATGTTTTGTGTGTGTTTCTTATTCAATACCCCGTCCAGCTGGTGGCGGTATTGCACCATTAACATTGTATGCCAACCGCCGTTAAACCCCATAGAAGAAGAATAAAAATTCCAAGTCAACGTCACCACATGGGCGCTAGAGGGTAGCAGATGTGTTGTCTATTATGTTTCGACAGCGTTTGTCTGCTACTGCTTGCCGTAGTTGCCGGGTATTGGAGGTCAGCCGGAGGAGGCGTGCGTCTGAAATATTTAGTGCAAAATGTCATGAAAGTGGCGAAAATAAAGGAATATAGCGTTTTAAACAATTATGTAATTTACAAGTGTGTATCGCTGTTAAGCACGGTACTTCAATTGTACAAAAAACGGGAGCAAAGCTCACGAAATAACGGAGAAATTCCTCCGTCCGTTTTGTCCTACAAAGAAAGAGGCGCCGACCACAGTTTGACAGCGCAGTTCAGACTGCGCAGGCCTGGCATTAAATTAAACTGCTGTAGGGCGGCATCTGAACGAATAGATGATATTTATGAAAGAACAAACACTTTATTGATTTGTGAATAAAAAAACAGTTGCAAATATGAGGAAGGACGTGAGGATATTACTCGTCGGGGAACGTAAGTGGCTGATTCATTAAATGTAGCTGGCGCTTTGATGCCTACTGTAATTAGCTAGCATGCTAGCTAGCGTAACTCGGAATACATTAAATAAAGACTCAAAATACGCTGTATAGATGAATTTACAACTAGGTTGTGTTTTGTACTTGAATGACCGCACAACGAAGGATAACATTGCATCGAACTGATTCAATGTGACATTGTGAAAACGTTTAACAAAATACCTAACTAACTAGCAAATACCGCAGTCAAATATGATTGGTTAGTTAATAAAGACTTGGTTTGTTCAATTAGTAATAAGCACACAGTAGCTGTAGTTATTTAAAGTGTGTTTGGTGTAACTTCTAGCCACAGCATTTAACTAGCTAACTAGTAATGTAGGTTAGGATCATATCAATAGAACACTCACTCAACCTTGAATGCGCTTTGCACTATCGATCAGCTTGACATTCCATTCCATGGAACCAGTAGAAATCAGGTTCAGCTCAGTTCCGTATATGTTAGCCATTTGGCCACTTTGCAGCTTTTGGCCTCCACAATACACTTCTCGCCAGTCCCCATAGCCACATCTAGTGCACTTTGCAAATTCGGGCCATATTTCATTCATCTTCTCCCATATCCACAATGCATCAATCTTTAAGCTATTCCATTTGTTTTGAGAGCCATTTATATTTGTTTTGAGAGCCACTATTGTCAATGATCACATTTTGTGGGAACGTGGGTAGTATGTGATAGAACTGAGACCTTTAAAGGAACTTGTGAATTAGGGGGGAAATTATCAAGTGTTCTTCTCTCACACACTCACATCTGTTTATGGCTGGCTGACCTACAAAGACACATTCTCTTTGGCGTTGCTGACAGGTCTCTTGAGAGGGCTGCCAAAACCCGTACGTGTGTATGCTAACATTGGTGATATCACACAGCAACCAATGATGCATTTTACACAGGCAGCCCAATACTGATATTTTTCCCAATTACTGGCAAAAGAGCAGATCTGATTGGGCAAAAGACCAAGTAGTAGTGTAAAAGGATCATAATTGGGCTGCCAGACTGTGTAAACGCAGCTCAAGTGTCCATGGATACAAGTCCTTTCCATGCACCTGCAGAGGCTGCCGCTGTTCTTGAATTTGATGAACTGTCCTACTGTCCTTGAAGCAGGATCCCATTCACTGATCTGACACATGATATAGGTGAAAGCTACTGCAGGCAAATTGAACCAAGCTTGATTAGGCCCATCCCTCCATTGGTGTTAGATCAATGGTTATGGTATGATAAAAGGATGCATGTTAAAATGTATCTGAACTGCACCTCTCTGTGCTGTATCTGCAGTCCTCTGTCCCCTGGCTGTGCGCTGTGGTGCTGGATTCAATCAAGTCATGGAATTCAATAAGACACTCCAACACTTAACTAGTCCCTGTTCATGCTTGCCAGCTGCTCTTATCTTCACACTTCAGTAACTCAACACATCAGTCTAACAGTCTGTAATGTATGCAGATCCATAGACGACACAGTCTCAATTGCACTCTACACTGCCCTCACCAACCTAAATAAGAGGAATACATACCTATGTGAGAATGCTGTTCATTGACTACAGCTCAGCGTTCAGCACAATTGTCCCCTCCAAACTCGTCACCAAGCTTAGGACCCTGGGACTGAACACTTCCCTCTGCAACTGGATCCTGGACTTCCTGACGGGCTGCCCCCAGGTGGTAAGGGTAGGCAACATCACCTCTGCCACGCTGACCCTCAACACGGGGGCCCCACAGGCTTGTGTACTTAGTCCCCTCCTGTACTCCCTGTTCACCCACGACTGCGTGGCCACGCACAACTCCAACGACATCAAGTTTGCTGACAGTGGTAGGCCTGATCACCGGCGACGATGAGACAGGGAGGAGGTCAGTGACCTGGCGGGGGGGGGGGGGGGGGCATCCACTGCAGCCCCCATCCACATCGCCGGGGCTGCAATGGAGCGGGTCGAGAGCTTCATGTTCTTCGGTGTCCAAATCACTAAGGACTTAAAATGGCGTACACACGCACAGTTGTGAAGAAGGCGCAACCTCTTCCCCCTCAGGAGGCTGGAAAGGTTTAGCATGGGCAAATCTTCAAAAAGTTATACAGCTGCACCATTGAGAGCACCTGACTGGCTGCATCACCGCTTGGCAACAGCACCGCCCTCGATCGCATGGCATTACAGAGGGTGGTGCGGACAGCCCAGTACATCACTGGCATCCAGGACCTCTATATCAGGCGGTGTGAAAGGATGGCCCAGAAATTTGTTAAAGACTCCACATTGTACCATGCAATGTGCAGGTTTCAAGTTTTAATGTCACGTGCAGACTCCAGCCACTCAAGCCATAGACTGTTCTCTCTACATCCGCACGGCAAGCGGTACCGTTGCATCAAGTCTGACACCAACAGGCTCCTGAAGAGCTTCTTTCCCTAAGCCGTACGACTGCTAAATAGCTAACAAAATGGCCTCATGGACTATCTGAGTTGACTCTGTCTCTATGCACTCTCACAGGACTCTACACACTCACGCACACTGACACTACACACACACACTTCATTTGCTCACACACACATAGCATGCACACACATTTATACTGACTACGCACACACACTCACATACATTCATCATATACGCTGTTGCTACTCTGTTTATCATATATCCTGATGCCTAGTCACCTTACTCCTATACATATATACCTCTATCACTCCAGTATCCCTGCACATTGTAAATATGGTACTGGAACTGACCCTGTATATAGCTTACTTACTTCTCATGTTCTTATTATTTATATTTCTCATGTTTTCGCTCTACCTTATGTTATTTTTAGTTCTATATTGATGCTGATGACTGCATTGTTGGGTTTAGAGAGCTTTGCAAGTAAGGGATTTCACTGTACTTGTGCAAGTGACATTAAAACTTGAAACCTGCACATTGCATGGTACAATGTTGAGAGGTGACACTAAAGCTCAATTGATGATGTTTCCCTGTGAGAGATAATCTCCATCACAGGGAGTATCTCCTCATTGTAGCCTGGTTCCAGATCTGTTTGTGCTGTCTCGCCAACTCCTACGGTCACTGTCATTGTTACATGACAATGATTGTAGCAGTTGGCAAGACCGCACAAACAGATCTGGAACCAGGGTATCCTGATTGCAATCACACACTGATGCTTCTGTCTGACTCACACTTGTCCTCTCGTCTCCACAGCCAAAGTGGGGAAGACGTCTCTGATCATGTCACTGGTCAGCGAGGAGTTCCCTGACGACGTTCCCCTTCGAGCGGAGGAGATCACCATCCCAGCAGATGTAACGCCAGAGAGAGTCCCCACACACATAGTGGACTACTCAGGTAGCACCACAGACCATACAGCCTGAACATCAATCAATACTGAATGTCAAACACTGAAAACTGTTCAGTGTTACTAGACTGCCCATACAAACAGACTATTATTGTTCAGACCTGCGATTCAGTCAATGCATGTTATGGCTGGAAACTGTTCTATGAATTCAGATATTTGAATGGATTTACTGACCGTACTTAAGACATTGGAGTAGGAGACGTGTCAGATTGGCAAGGCAATATCATACTGTCTTTTGATGTTGTTGCTCTGTTGTCTTGTGTGTGTAGAAGCAGAACAGTCAGACGAGCAGTTGTATCAAGAAATATCGAAGGTTGGTTGGATACCATTTGAGTCTTGTATTATCCCCATAAAGTAAAAATGTATCCCTACCAAAGTAGAATAACATTTTCTCTTTTTTACAGGCAAATGTTATTTGCATAGTTTACTCAGTCAACAACAAGAAGTCCATTGAGAAGGTCAGTTTATACACCAAGCATTCCCTCTGACAAAGAATAACTGACATTCAGATGTCCTGATTTAGTAACAGCCACTGCCCGCCCATTGTTAACTCTGTTCACCATGTCGGCCGCATTGAATTAAAGAGAGTGCAGGGCAGGCCTGTGTTCTGAGTCTTGGCCTTGCAGCTGTAGCAGGGTTTGATGTGTTTTCTCTCTCCTAGGTGACAAGCCATTGGATTCCCCTCATAAATGACAGGACGGACAAGGATAGCAGGTGTGTGTGTGCAGTGTGCACGTGGTGTCTGCATGGGTGTGTCTCTCCTCGTGGGGTCAGGGACAGTGGGGGTACTGTATACAGTCTGCTACTAAATCCCCAGTGGCTTTGGAAAAGACTGCCCCAACAGTAAAAGTGGTGGTGTAGTTGTTGACAGCTTTGCCATATTTCACTTAGTAGATTGAAACAGGTGTCTAGTCATCTCAGTAACATGCCATTCATTATAAGGCCAGACTGCTATATGGACCAGTTATGTCATAGACAATGACAAGGGAAAGTACACTACTGCGTACCTGTTTGTGTAACCTACTCTATCTCTGGGTGATAATGGAGGAAAGGTGACTGAATGACTAATGGGTATATAATGTAAGACAGTGCGATACGATGGATCGGTTTTCCATAGGGGAAGCAGGTGGTCATGGACAATGTTGTTGTCACCTCTTAGCTGTACATTTAATTGCAGCCCCCTCTGTCTCCTGTCATTGATTTAATGTACCATTATACAGTATGTTGAGTCAGTTTGTATAGCGGCAGACAGCCAGACAACATTGGTTTTAGGGTTGTCACGATACCAGTATCACGATACTCTGAGGTATCGTGGCAAGGAAACAAAACATGAAGCAGACTACATTTCCTGAGGAAAACAGTCCTAATGTTGGTAACCTTATGTTTCTTTTCCATATAGAACACAATATTTTACATACGGTAGGTTTTAAAGGACCATAGAGTTTATTCTGCTTTGTGTTTTCCGGCAGACAGCCAGACATTGCCTAACATTGCCTTGGATTGAGCCTGGATTTATTTAATAGGATCCGGTGTCAAGGCTAAGTCTGCCTGGATTACTGTTAGAGTTTAGTATGACATAGCTTGAAGGTTTGATCAATTAGGTGACACTGACCATCTATTTGGTGGAGCAGAGGCTGGAACCCCTGAGGACAAAATATTCCATTGTGAGATATTCTCATGATTGTTCTCTCAGAGTCCTAACTGTGCCTCTTCCTCCTCCATTGGTAATGCCAATTAAATTCCCCCGTCCTTTGGAATGAATGGCATATATTATACAGTGGGGAAAAAAAGTATTTAGTCAGCCACCAATTGTGCAAGTTCTCCCACTTAAAAAGATGAGAGAGGCCTGTAATTTTCATCATAGGTACACGTCAACTATGACAGACAAAATGAGATTTTTTTTTCTCCAGAAAATCACATTGTAGGATTTTTTATGAATTTATTTGCAAATTATGGTGGAAAATAAGTATTTGGTCACCTACAAACAAGCAAGAATTCTGGCTCTCACAGACCTTTAACTTCTTCTTTAAGAGGCTCCTCTGTCCTCCACTCGTTACCTGTATTAATGGCACCTGTTTGAACTTGTTATCAGTATAAAAGACACCAGTCCACAACCTCAAACAGTCACACTCCAAACTCCACTATGGCCAAGACCAAAGAGCTGTCAAAGGACACCAGAAACAAAATTGTAGACCTGCACCAGGCTGGGAAGACTGAATCTGCAATAGGTAAGCAGCTTGGTTTGAAGAAATCAACTGTGGGAGCAATTATTAGGAAATGGAAGACATACAAGACCACTGATAATCTCCCTCGATCTGGGGCTCCACGCAAGATCTCACCCCGTGGGGTCAAAATGATCACAAGAACGGTGAGCAAAAATCCCAGAACCACATGGGGGGACCTAGTGAATGACCTGCAGAGAGCTGGGACCAAAGTAACAAAGCCTACCATCAGTAACACACTACGCCGCCAGGTACTCAAATCCTGCAGTGCCAGACGTGTCCCCCTGCTTAAGCCAGTACATGTCCAGGCCCGTCTGAAGTTTGCTAGAGTGCATTTGGATGATCCAGAAGAGGATTGGGAGAATGTCATATGGTCAGATGAAACCAAAATAGAACTTTTTGGTAAAAACTCAACTCGTCGTGTTTGGAGGACAAAGAATGCTGAGTGGCATCCAAAGAACACCATACCTACTGTGAAGCATGGGGGTGGAAACATCATGCTTTGGGGCTGTTTTTCTGCAAAGGGACCAGGACGACTGATCCGTGTAAAGGAAAGAATGAATGGGGCCATGTATCGTGAGATTTTGAGTGAAAACCTCCTTCCATCAGCAAGGGCATTGAAGATGAAACGTGGCTGGGTCTTTCAGCATGACAATGATCCCAAACACACCGCCCGGGCAACGAAGGAGTGGCTTCGTAAGAAGCATTTCAAGGTCCTGGAGTGGCCTAGCCAGTCTCCAGATCTCAACCCCATAGAAAATCTTTGGAGGGAGTTGAAAGTCCGTGTTGCCCAGCGACAGCCCCAAAACATCATTGCTCTAGAGGAGATCTGCATGGAGGAATGGGCCATAATATCAGCAACAGTGTGTGAAAACCTTGTGAAGACTTACAGAAAACGTTTGACCTGTGTCATTGCCAACAAAGGGTATATAACAAAGTATTGAGAAACTTTTGTTATTGACCAAATACTTATTTTCCACCATAATTTGCAAATAAATTCATTAAAAATCCTACAATGTGATTTTGTGGATATTTTTTTCTCAATTTGTCTGTCATAGTTGACGTGTACCTATTATGAAAATTACAGGCCTTTCTCATCTTTTTATGTGGGAGAACTTGCACAATTGGTGGCTAACTAAATACTTTTTTCCCCCACTGTATAAGATCATATATGATGTTGTTGCAGGGTACCACTGATCCTGGTGGGGAATAAGTCAGATCTGGTAGAACACAGCAGCATGGAGACCATCCTGCCCATCATGAACCAGTACTCTGACATCGAGACCTGCGTGGAGGTAAGAGAACACTGACTGGTGACTCTGTTTAACGCCGCCATTTTGGGGCTAAACTGACAAGTGCCTAGCAAAAGTACATTGAGAATGACCATATAGCTAGGCTAATGAAAGTTGTTGTGTTACACTTGAGTTGAGGCTCAATCAAAATGGTATAAAACCTCTAGAAATGTATTTAAAGGGTCTCTGATCACCTGATGAATGGAATTCAAGCCTACAGAACTTTGATCACCAATGGTTTCATATTCTATCCCGGTTCTGAAATCCAAACAGCTGAAAACGCCATAAAAAATAAAATTGATGCGTTGACGTTGTGATGTTGGTTGTCTGCTGGCCCTGGGCTGGGAGACTCCTAATGTTTCAGCTAACTCCTGACTCCAGTTAGAATGAATCTGATGGCTGGTAAATGAGCCTTTTTTTCTGCTGCAGAGACCCGGGCATTATTCATTATGGCACACAACATAAAACATTTTGCAACGTAAAATACAAATGTGTTTCTTATTGGCCAAGTCCACATAGTAAATGAGCCTTTTTCAGTCAGTTTTGTTTTATTTGGTGCCTAATGAACATGAACCCTCTGTGTCTTTCTACTGACTGACTGAGTGAGTGTGTGCACTGTGTGCTGACTGTGTGCTGAGACGCACTTCTATCATGGAGGAAAGTCGTTGGCTACATTACTCTTCCATTGGTCTCATGTGACAGCCCAGTCATACCATGTCCTCTCTGGCTAGATTAGTTACAGGATAAAAGGAGTAGAGGTGGAGGGGACGATGTGTTGGAACACACGTACAGAGATATCATTGGAGATGTGTTTGAAGGCAAACACACAGAAAGTCAGACGTGTTAAAGTGACAACCTGGTCGGGATCCGTTATGCAGTTGTACTGCACAAGGTTAATGGTTACTTGTACGTGGTGCAACACTGTTCAGTCTATACATAGTTAACATCTATATACTCTCTTTCCCCCTGTGTGGAATTAGCCACTTGTCATGGCAACGCCACCGGTGTTTATAGCCTGGCTGTTTCTGGACCCTAGTTTCATATTGAGAGATGACATTCTGCTTTCCATGACCTCATTTAGACCACTAAGAGGTTGGTTTTGCTGGCTTGAGTGTTTTTTCACTGAAGCACCATACATCTGCAATGCACCTAAATGCAACAACTCAAGCTTATTGAGAACCAATTGATGTGTATAATGAAGTAGTTCGAGAAGAGTGGGATAGGTGATTAATAAGTCAGCTTTATTTGTCGTATACACATGGTTTACACAGTACAACAGTGGCGGCTGATGTCCTACTGTACCCATAATGCTCTGTAACACAATTGGTTTTAGCTTTGTAAAGATGTTACTAAAGTGAACATAATGGTGTCCTGTCTCCTTACCAATACATGGTTGTTAGACCACGGCAGGTGTCTGTTTCTCAGTGGATTGTTCCAGCTGGTTTTGAGGTTACTGTATGTTTGTGTTTCTCAGTGCTCTGCCAAAAACCTGAAGAACATCTCAGAGCTGTTCTACTATGCCCAGAAGGCAGTGCTCCACCCTACAGGACCCCTGTACTGCCCAGAGGAGAAGGAGGTGAGGAGGGCAGAGGGTAGCTAGGGGCCTAGAGTTGTCCCTAAATATGTAGCCTGATCAGGAAAAACTTTGAGCCAAAAGCTAGGATCCAGAGTTTTTCTTGGTCAGGTTACGCATTCAGGAAAGTTTCCTGGCCCTACCATGGGTACACAGGCAACATCTACTTTTTATCTCTCCAAAAATCTTATATTGCACATATTTCAAATGTGTACTTTGTGTTTTTTCAGATGAAGCTGTCTTGCATCAAGGCTCTAACTCGCATCTTCAAAGTGTCGGACCTGGACAACGATGGCATCCTCAACGACAAAGAACTCAACTTCTTCCAGGTAGGAGTTTCACTGTGGGAAAAGAGAACCTTGTGGGAAAACCTTTCTTGGCTCTAGCTGCAGACTTGTGTGCTTGAGCTGGCCGACGTGAAAGAACCTGATTTACTTCATGTTTTCCAATGGCAGTTTATTTTAACTGGAGTGGAAGAGAGAGGGAGGGATAGGTTATTAGTGTGTTCACCGGTAGCCTGCAGACAGGGCAGGTTTCAAGATGTAATGGTCGTTGATTTAGAAACCTTTTTTTCCTCTAGTAAATGGTGCAAAGCTGTATACATATCTCCTTGTGACTTCATATAGCACGAACCACAATACATTAGTAGCTGAGTCAGATATGTTGGAATAGACTGGTTCTTGCCTGTTTTGGTCTCACCAGCCATATGTTTAGGTGATGTGTGTTGAGTGATTTATTGTTGAGTGCAGGTCCAATTAAAGCACTTGGAAGCAGCATTGTGCCGTGTGCAGGCTTTCATTTTTCACTCTTGTTCTGTGTTGATATAGTAGTTCTGTGTGGGTATAGTCGTTCTGTGTGGGTATAGTCGTTCTGTGTGGGTGTAGTCGTTCTGTGTGGGTATAGTCGTTCTGTGTGGGTATAGTCGTTCTGTGTGGGTATAGTCGTTCTGTGTGGGTATAGTAGTTCTGTGTGGGTATAGTAGTTCTGTGTGAGTATAGTAGTTCTGTGTGAGTATAGTAGTTCTGTGTGGGTATAGTCGTTCTGTGTGGGTATAGTCGTTCTGTGTGGGTATAGTCGTTCTGTGTGGGTATAGTCGTTCTGTGTGGGTATAGTCGTTCTGTGTGGATATAGTAGTTCTGTGTGGGTATAGTAGTTCTGTGTGGGTATAGTAGTTCTGTGTGGGTATAGTAGTTCTGTGTGGGTATAGTAGTTCTGTGTGGGTATAGTCGTTCTGTGTGGGTATAGTCGTTCTGTGTGGGTATAGTCGTTCTGTTTGGGTATAGTCGTTCTGTGTGGATATAGTAGTTCTGTGTGGGTGACACATGGTGTGTTCTGTGTGTGTGTGGTAGAGGACGTGTTTCAACATGCCCCTGGCGCCCCAGGCCTTAGAGGATGTCAAGAACGTGGTGAGGAAGAACATGACGGACGGAGTCGAGGACAACGGACTCACGCTCAAAGGTCTGTATGCTTTCCCTTCATTCCCTCTCTCACTCAGTCACTCACTTGTTCTCTCTCTTTTCTCTCTCTATTCTCTCTCATTCAATCTCTCTCTCTCTATTCTCTCTGCATCTCTCTCATTCAATCTCTCTCTCTATTCTCTCTGCATCTCTTCATTCAATCTCTCTCTCTATTCTCTCTGCATCTCTCTCATTCAATCTCTCTCTTTTCTCTCTCTATTCTCTCTCATTCAATCTCTCTCTCTTTTCTCTCTGCATCTCTCTCATTCAATCTCTCTCTCTCTTCTCTCTGCATCTCTCTCATTCAATCTCTCTCTCTATTCTCTCTGCATCTCTCTCATTCAATCTCTCTCTCTATTCTCTCTGCATCTCTCTCATTCAATATCTCTCTCTCTTCTCTCTGCATCTCTCTCATTCAATCTCTCTCTTGTTCTCTCTTCTGTAACCTTCACTGAAGGTCATGCATGAATAACATCTTTAATAACCCTTTACCAGTGTACTGTGTCAATCTCAAACGTTGTGTCTGGGTGTATCTCTGACTTGTGTCCATTCTTCATCCTGATTGGCCGCTAGGCTTCTTGTTCCTGCACACACTTTTCATCCAGAGGGGGCGTCACGAGACCACCTGGACGGTGCTGCGGAGATTCGGTTACGACGACGACTTGGAGCTTCACCAGGAATACCTGTTCCCCCTGTGAGTGGACCAGGGTCATGCTCATTAGGGAACATCGTAGTAAAACGCTTTGCACCGGAAAACAAAAACAACCTGTTCTTATTGGACAAGTGTAGATAGTAATAACTTTGAGCGCTTTCTTCCATTTCGTGCCTAAAGAACATGACCCTGCCGTACGTATGGGCAACTCTTACCTCTGGGCAGAAAGAGGGAAATATACACCTGTTTTATTTAAGGGTGGACAAGCATAACAATGACTCTCTGGCCCCAATTCAGTTTCAGTCAATAGCAAATAAAGGACACCTGCTCTGCAGGCTCTCACTATCTTTACACTGTATCAAAGATGTTAACCATGATAAAACCTACTGAACGCTCAAGTTGTCTGTGGGTGCATCTTACGCGACTTGTTATGACTTGCAAGTAGCACTAGTTCTTTCCCAGGGTGAGCCTTTTGAACAATGCCAGTTTAGCCATATCACTTTTAATGAGATGAATCCGGAATGTTCTGTTGTCCGTGCCAGGCTAAAAATACCGGCTGACTGCACCACCGAGCTCAACCACAACGCGTACCTCTTCCTCCAGAGTGTCTTCGACAAGCACGACAAAGTAAGTCTAGGATGACATGATTCCTCCTACTGTTGTCTTACCTTCTGCCTCACACAGACAAACATTCACAGGTTTTCCCGAAATCCCAGGTGCTAGTTTCCTGGAATCAGGAGGGAATAAGCAGGGAGGGAATCCTCCAGCCGGCTTTTGGGAAAGTTACCGGAATATTGCAACCCTACACAAAGCTATCATATTATTAGAACAGGGGTCCTAACCCTAGTGTGTGTTTCAGGACAGAGACTGTGCCTTGTCTCCAGATGAGGTAAAGGACCTGTTCAAAGTGTTTCCCTACATGCCCTGGGGTCCCGACGTCAACAACACAGTGTGTACCAACGACCAGGGCTGGATCACCTACCAGGGATACCTGTCACAGTGGACGTGAGTTCGGCCAGCATACCTGTACCACCTGTTACCTCTATCTGTCTAACTTTAATGATTTGGTACTGCAGTTATACAGCGCTTTGCTGAAACTCAAACTTCTTCACTTTTAAAAGCTACCGTAAATTTGTACCAAAGCCCCCCACAGACAGACACACACTAATAGGCTTTCAATTGTCTGATTGGCCAGGTTAACGACGTACCTGGATGTGCAGCGCTGCTTGGAGTACCTGGGCTACCTTGGCTACTCAATCATCTGTGAGCAGGAGTCCCAGGCAGCAGCCATCACAGGTAATGTGCGTGACTAGGTTTATGTGCTTGTGTCGTGTGTTGGTGTGAATTATTGTGGCCTCTCTGTTTGCACATTTGAAACCTAATTAGTGTTGAGTTACTATAAATCTACAGTCAGTAGAGTTACGTGTGTGTTTGCACGCTCATGCATCTCTATATCTCGTATCCTTTATTCCTGACCTGTCTCTCCTCCCTCAGTGACCCGAAACAAGCGCATCGACCTGCAGAAGAAGCAGACGCAGCGCAGCGTGTTCCGCTGCAACATTCTGGGAGCCAGGGGGAGTGGCAAGACCAGCTTCCTGCAGGCCTTCCTGGGTCGCAACCTGCTGGTGAGTCCCTGGAACTACCGGACACCTGGGGTGTATTCATTATGGCACACCGCAGCAAAATGTATTGCAATGCAAAATGTTTTTGTTTTTGTTTCTTATTGAACAAATTCAGGTAGTCCCTCCCTGTTTAATTGTTTTTTTTCCCTATTTGGTGCCTAATGAACATGACCCTGGCTCTTCCATTGAACGCTCACTGCTACCTGCTAAGCACACATTTCTGTTTTCATAGCTACTCTTAAGTAGCCTGGGTGACACTGGCAGTCTGTTACTGTGTTTTTTACCCAACTCCTTTAAGACATGGTAAACTAACTAACTATTATTATTATTATTGTTATTCAAACTTAACTATTTAGCAGTAAGGAATAAAACGTACTGTTGTATCAATTTGGAGTCGTGAATGTGTCTTTTTCTGCGTTACTCAACAGAAACAGAGGAAGATCAGAGAAGACCATAAATCATTCTACTCCATCAACACCACGTATGTCTACGGCCAGGAGAAGTACTTACTGGTGAGGCTGTGCATCTCTCTCCCAGTATCATGCTTTCTGCCCGGTAACCAGATTAAAACCCTAGGAGATGGATTATAATCCAGTTGTATAATCCATAATACTGTGTTTTATGTGTGACCAGCTGTCTAGCAGTAAATCCTTAGTGTTTTCCCCTCATATGTTCTGGAAAATAATATGTTCAGTGCTACACAGTGAATGTTAATCACCTATAGGGTTACATACTATAGAACAAGACTGGTCTTGAGAAAGGCCTTTCTGCTGAAACGTTGTGACATTAAACTGTCTCAACTATTTCCTCTTCTCATCTTCCATCTTCACCCCTCTCCCCTCTTCTCTTCTCCCCCCTCACACCTCAACTTCTCTTCTCCCCTCTTCACACCTCCCCTTCTCTTCTCCCCACCTCACACCTCCCTTCTCTTCTCCCCCTCTTCACACCTACCTTCTCTCCCTCTTCACACCTCCCTTCTCTTCTCCCCCTCTTCACACCTCCCTTCTCTTCTCCCCCGCTTCACACCTCCCTTCTCTTCTCCCCCGCTTCACACCTCCCTTCTCTTCTCCCCCGCTTCACACCTCCCTTCTCTTCTCCCCTCTTCACACCTCCCTTCCCTTCTCCCTCTTCACACCTCCCTTCTCTTCTCCCCCTCTTCACAACTTCCTTCTCTTCTCCCCGCTTCACACCTTCCTTCTCTTCTCCCCCGCTTCACACCTCCCTTCTCTTCTCCCCCGCTTCACACCTCCCTTCTCTTCTCCCCTCTTCACACCTCCCTTCCCTTCTCCCCTCTTCACACCTCCCTTCTCTTCTCCCCCTCTTCACACCTTCCTTCTCTTCTCCCCGCTTCACACCTCCCTTCTCTTCTCCCCGCTTCACACCTTCCTTCTCTTCTCCCCCGCTTCACACCTCCCTTCTCTTCTCCCCTTTTCACACCGCCTTTCTCTTCTCACCCGCTTCACACCTCCCTTCTCTTCTCCCCTCTTCACACCTCCCTTCCCTTCTCCCCTCTTCACACCTCCCTTCCCTTCACACCTGCCTTCTCTTCTCCCCGCTTCACACCTCCCTTCTCTTCTCTCCGCTTCACACCTCCCTTCTCTTCTCCCCCGCTTCACACCTCCCTTCTCTTCTCCCCACTTCTCTCCTCTTTTCTCTCCCTGTAGCTTCATGAGGTGATGCCAGACTTTGACTTCCTCTCAGAGGAAGACCTGGCGTGTGACGTGGTCTGCCTGGTGTATGACGTCAACAACCCACGCTCCTTTGAGTACTGCGCCAAGGTCTACAAGGTGTGTACACTACCTAATGTATCAAATCCATCAGTCCTTAGTTTAGTCCTGGGCCGGTATTCACAACATGTTTCTACAGTAGGAGGGCTGATCTTGGATCAGGTCCCCCTTGTCCATATAATCCTATTCATTAGGATCTAAAAGGCAAAACTGATGCTAGATCAGCACTCTCTTGAGACGCTTTGTGAATATGGGCCCTGATCCTTCATTCACTACACTGGAATAAAGAGGGACTTCTCCGCTTTCAGCTTTTCACCTTCTGCAACTGTTTACCAAAATGTTTTAATATCAACCATCCTTATCTAGTCTTGTTCTCATAACTAACCTCTGAACTTTAACCTTTTGACCTATGACAGCAATACTTCATGGACAGCAAGACGCCGTGCATGATGATCGCCTCCAAGTCGGACCTGCACGAGGCGCGCCAGCACCACAGCCTGACCCCGCTGGACTTCTGCCGCAAGCACAAGCTGCACCCGCCCCAACCCTGGACCTGCAACACGGTGGACGCCCCCAACAAAGACCTCTACACCAAACTCACCACCATGGCCATGTACCCGTGAGTATAGCCCCTCAGAGACCACCTCTGACTTCACCCATCGCCCCATCGTCTTTTCCTCCATCCAGCCCTATGTGACCTCATGTTACGTCCTGTATGATGTCTCCAGACACCCCTGAGAGAGTGAGATATTTTAGGTGCCGTTGTATTTCAGGTCCTTACTCTTGGCCACTGTCAATGTGTTGTGGTACGGTAAGTTTAATTGTAAGATAATGACTAGGCCATTTGAAGTCCCAAAACGAAGGTAATCCACTGCAAATCCTTTGGCCTTGAAGGAAGTCTACCCAGTCAGCTGAACTGTAAGGGTGTTATTGACTTGTTGACAGTCTTATGAGAGGCAGAGTTAGTCTGCTACTTAATTAGGAGATTAGCAATTGGATTAGATTAATGTCTATTTAATTGAGCCTTAAATCTCAGCTTTACGGGGAAGAACTCCAGTTGTCTAATGTTAAAACCATTGGCTTTCCCAAGGCATAGAGGCCTATAGCTAAGAATCCAGGCCCTAGCTCTGACTGGACTCTGGGAGGAAACCATTTTACAGAAATAATCAGCAGATTCTGCTCTATACACTACAGTACTTCATCTGTTTCAGACAACTCTCTTGATAGTGAACAGTTCTTTATGTAGTTAGGGCACTACTAGTATTCTGCATTCATTGGGTATTTGGAATATACTATTTCAGTACAGTGCAAAATGGGTTGTGACTCAGTCTCCGGCTGCAGATATACTGTAGGTCAGAGTGACTCATGCTGTATAACTCAGGCCAACAGGGAATATTATAATGGTTTAGTTCCATGTATTTGTAATGGTCAATCTGGAGATTCTGAGACGGGTTAGCAGTTTGTTTTTATTGAATTACCCTCATCTTTCTCTTCTCTTTGCCACTCTGTCCTTCATTCTCTGTGGCTTTTCCCCTCTTCTCCCTAAGGATGATAGAGGCCAACATTAGCCACACTTAAAAATGCCATGTACCGCAAATAATGTTTCCTCAAGACACCTAACTTTCATAATGTACTTAGTACTTACCACTTTCTCTGTATTAATATACTTAGTAAAGTAATGAATCTTCTTTGCCTTTTGTTAGTGATGGAGTTATTGTTCATAACTCAGTCACCCAAAGCTCAAGCCCCCCATGTGGTGCTAGAACAGGGTCTGTCTTTCAGGGTTCCGCCATCCCATGGTGATGTTTCCATGGAAACGTGTACGAATGTGGATCTGACTTCGTCTTTGTGTGTGTTTATGTGTGCGTGCCTGTGTGTGTTGTGATTGTGTCTCCTCAGCCACGCCAAGCTCCGCTGCATGTGTACCTGCAACAGGTGCACCTTCTGCATCTGTCAGAACATCCTCCGGTCCCAGCTATTGAGAACTATAAAGGCCAAATTCTACAGTGTTGTTCTGAACAGGTCCATACTGCATATACTGCCTGTCCCCTCTCTTTCTCTCTCCCCCTCTGACGCCCCTGAGGTGGGAGGTGGGACCCTAGCTTTCTAACCTGGGTGAAGGTTTTTCTCCTCTTCTCCCTCAATGCTTCCTCATAGTCAGGTTTACACTGCATATCCACAACGGAAAACTGGACATTTTTAGACATTCTGAGTTCTTATTTCGATCTCTAGGCCTGATTGTGCGTCTCCATTGCATTTCATATGACTGGATGGGTGGGTTTATAAGACTGTATTCCAAATACTCATACCGGGGAGTTTTGTTTTTGAAGAAGTCTGTGAGAAGGTCAGTTCTGGTGACTTTTTAAAAGGACGTTCTACTCCAAAATGAATGAAAATCAAATGATACCGACACCATCCATCTATAATCCCCCCCAGAAATGACAAAATGTGTAGAATTGCAGGAAATAAGCTTTAAACTTGCAAAATTCTCTCCACCAACAAGAGGGGTGTGAACAGTTCGTGTCATGAACAGTGCTAGTGCCCATAGAAATAGACATGGTGCTGAGTGAAAAAGTTTGGGAACTCCTGGGCTAAGGTAACATGATACTATAGGTCTGCTGTAAGGTGGCCTAGTTGTAATGTGATTGTGATGGTGTCTTCCTCGTCTCTGCTCCAGCCTCACGCAGCACTCCCACACCGCTCTCACCTCCGTGACGCAGCGCCTTACCCAATTATCTGCCACACTGCACCATCATCTAACACCTGTGGTGCTAGCCAGGGAGGTAACCGTGTGGTGTGGTCGTGTTGCGTTCCATTTGAGCCAGTCTGAAGTGAAGATGCATGTGTGCGGTCTGTTAACGTGTCTAGTTGGAGATGGGTTGTGGGTAGATGACCCTGCTGTAGCAACAGGGTGCGGTCTATCATGAAGTAACTAATGCATGGATCTTTAAGATTTAAAAAAAAGTACGTTGCTTGGCAAGTCATTAATCTTTCGAGAGTTAAGCATACAAGTGGATGTTGAAGCCAACATGGCCCTTTCGTTTAAGAATGGTGTTTCTATCATGTGAAGTGGATATGCAAACTGTAAATCTGTACTAAAGACTAATGTGCATAGTGCGTGAGGGAGGAACGCCACCTTGCAGATCTCTCTGTTTTGGTTACATTTGGCCCCACTGAAGCTGTTGGTGAAACTGAAAGCCTCCTAGAAGGCAGCTTGGGTAGGATGGCTGGTTGTTCTCCTCTGTACCAAAGTAGATGTTGATATTTGGTTCAAATTGCATGTTATAAATGTCAATATTTTTGAGTACTCTTTGACATTGAACTGTTTCGACCGCCAAAGATGTGCATGATTTGATTTCTATGATGTTTTCAGTTTGGAGGTTTGATTGTATGTGAAGTGATTCTCACACCTTAAGTTTACACCCACAAGATAAAGTTAGCCTATATATAAGGTCCTATGTTAGGTCCTAAGTTTACATATACATTTGAGTCATTTAGCAGACTCTCTTATCCAGAGCGACTTACAGTTAGTGAGTGCACAAGTTAACTCTCAAACTTGGCTCATACTGCAGCCCTAGTGTTATCACAACACAACCTAATTCATGTACACATTTACAATCCTGGTTCTCTTGTGGTTGAAACTTTTTTTTACTAACAAACATTTTAATTTGTATGACAAATGATTTTCTTCCATTCATTACAAAGTGATTTTGCACTGTATCGATCACATTTAATTGAATTGTGTTTCCGTTGTCGTGTTTTGTTCTTGTTTTCATCCTATAGATGTTCGTACGCATGTTTTTGGCTGCCCCTCTTTCTGTTCCTGTTGCATGTGTTTACCTCTTGTTAGTTGCATGCACTGTCTGTGTAGACCTGTCTGTCTGTGTAGACGCTGTCTGTCTGTGTAGACGCTGTCTGTCTGTGTAGACGCTGTCTGTCTGTCTAACCTTCCAATAGGCTTGCCTTAGTCTTCAGCTTGACACCGCCCCCTATGGAAGGCTATGCATAGGCGCCACTCAAATCAGCAGTCTGTTTTGAGCGTTGGGAAGTATGGGAACTAGGCTAGTGCTTGGGGTTTGAGTGTGTGTGGTTTATGATGTGCAGGGTTTGGATGGCTCGTGGGGGCTCACCATTGCAGGGTTGACATTTCATTGTGCTTGTATATGCTTATAAAGTAGTGTGTGTTTTGTGGCAGTGTAAGTTACTGTATGTATTGGTATGGTTTGGGAGGTTTACAATGGTTCCTAGTGAGTTTACAATGGCTTCTGGGGGCCCAGGCATGCCTTTTATAACACTGTTGTGTTACATGCTAACTCCTTTGTCAATGCCTGTTTAACCTTGGGAGAAGAGAATTAACGCACCAGAAATGGCATGCCACTAAAACAGAAGTTATTGAAGGCGGTTATGCCACACCACATTGACTAGCTGAGATACTATAGTATTTAACACCTAATTGGTTTGAATCTTCGCTGTTTTCGGTTTACCCCATATATAAAAAATATCTAATCTAATGACTCAAAGTAGCCTATTTCAACAAATTCGGAGAGCAAGCTGAATATACAGTATTTTCTAACCATGTATCCCTATGAGTCTCAAGATTGAAGCCTGTAATTTATTCGGCTGGCATATTTTTCCCACTCAGCTATCGCATTGGACAAGGTTTTTGGCCACAGTGTGGTGTGTTTGACCGAGAGGTTGCAAGGTGTGGTGTGGGGTGTGTTCTGCGGTGGTGTCATGGCCCGGTGTGTGTGGGGTTGGCGTTGAACGGCCCTACTGTGTGCGTGCGTGTGTGTGTGTACAAGGTTACATGATGTGGGAGCCTATCTGTTGGATGACGAGGAGTGCAGTCTGATCCAGCAGGTTCACGCCATCAGTAATGTAGAGGAGTCTATCTACATGGAGTCTTCTGTCCAGCCCAATGGGCCTCAGGCCAGGTAAAACACAGCATGAGACAGGCTGACAGACTGGGGGCTAAGGGACAGCTGTTTGTTACTGGCTGGGTAGATACAGGTATGGTGGACGTTGATGTGGCAACGGCAAGCACTGTTGGGGGAGGAGATTGCTGTAGCCACCAGTATTATATGAAGACAAGATTATAATGAAGGGTACAGCCATATCAGGGCTACACATCTACCTACTTTAGCCTCATAAACAACAGCCTTTGATCTGTTTGGTTTGAAGTTACACAGTGGGGCCCCGTGTAGCTCAGTTGGTAGAGCATGGTGCTTGCAACGCCAGGGTTGTGGGTTCGTTTCCCACGGGGGGCCAGTATGAAAATGTATGCACTCACTAACTGTAAGTCGCTCTGGATAAGAGCGTCTGCTAAATGACTAAAATGTAATGTAATGTTTTCACCCAGTGTCCCTGTTGTAACTCACTGACTACCTTTTTTAATGGGTATCTATCATTAGTTTTGAAGGTACCGGTCAATGTTCTTAGTCATACTAGTAGCTGGTTGGTCAGGTTTGGGTATGGCTGCTTGCTGAAGAAGCTTTGTTGGGCAGTATGCCGTGGGAGGAAGGTATTGATCTTCCTCTGAGGTACATGTCTAGGTTAAGCAGGATGGCAGTTGTCTATATCTAAAGGACTCTCTTCCTACTAAACCTGCTTGAATGGGTTTCTGCTGCTGTGGGAGTCTGTCAGGTGTCACTGTGAAGATTAATGGGTTGTTGAGTACTGTGTGTGTGTGAGCACAAGCGATTGTGTTTGGCAATTTATAAGTTGTTAAAGCTTTCTGCTTACCTCTGCACTTCTAGGGTGCCTCCCTCCCTCTCCTTCAACCAAGCTATCACAGACAAGCTCATTTTCAGAAGACAGTATTTCATGTTTAACCAGGCAATCACAGACTAGCTCATTTTCAGTAGACAGTATATCATGTAAAGAGGTTGTATCTGTACTACTACTGAGGTACTATCTAACAGTTTAACTGTTCCTCTGTTTATGTAGAGATTTGTTTAGGAAGCTCAGATAACATGACTTGTTTGTCATTTGTCAACGTATTCCCATGTGATCTGGAAACGAGGCTGTATTGTCTCTCTTTCTAACTCTTTCTGTCTCTCTCTCCTTCTCCAACTCTCTCTCTCTCTCTCAGGCACATGGCTCAGGCAGACCTGAAGAGCTCTACGTTTTGGCTAAGGGCAAGCGTGGGGGCCACCGTGTTTGCAGTCTTGGGCTTCGCCATGTACAGAGCTATCCTCAAACAGCGATGATCAAGACAGACACAGGATGCATGATATGACCCCTGACCCCCCACAGGTCTCTGCCCTTTGACCCCTCAGCCCCTCCTTGAAAGAAAACACGACCTCCAACATCCCACAATCTTCTGCCCCCCTTCCCCGACAACTGAATGAAACGGAACTTCCAGCCCATCTGAACCAGCCCTGATCCCACATCCACCTTACCGGAGAGGGAACAAACCGAGAAATCATAGATGGATTTTATATATTTGAAACTAGTCATCTTTTGCAAACTCTGTTTTTTTGTTAGTTTTTTAGTTTTTCTTTGAAAAAAAGTATCCACAAACTCAAATTGTGTGTATTGAACACCATGTAATCAATCTACTGCAGGCATTCTGGTATCGTGTGATCTGGTCTAGTCTTGGGTTTTTTTCTTCTCCCGGTCAGACAGTAGTAGTTGCTGGTTGTTTTTAAATCTGTGTAGAACCCGGCCTTTTTTCACAGGTCAGTATTAGCTAGCTGGTTTGACCCCCAGAGCCAGAGAAAGCAAAGAAGGCACCGTATACAACTCACTACAAAAGGGACTGAAAACATTTGTTTATAGATGTGTGTGTATATATAAATATATATATTGCTCGGGTACTTAGAGAAATACCCAACCAGATTACGGCGCGAACAAAGCTTGCCAGTGAATAAAGCATTCAGCTCTGTAACACCTCAACAGTGAGCCTACAGGAAGAGCTGCAAAGTCAAAGCCATTTTTAATGTTGAAAAGGTCAAGGGTTTCGTGCACGGGTTTCAATTGCTATTAATTTATTAACCTGTTTCTTTTCTTTGGTTTATCTGTTTTGAATGGTTTGTTCAGCATTGCATGAAACAGACCCACTTCAAGAGGATAATACATTCATTTTCCATGTATTTTTGTATATCTAGTATTATCAAAGCCGTTAATAATGACATCCGTCATTCACTTACTCTGAAAGACAAAAGACTACAACATTATCATGACCGTATATGCTTCTTCCTCAGCTTTTTTCCTTTAAATTATGATTATATTTTTATGTTAAACACTATTATGCCTACAGATTGCAGTATGTTATTAACAGCCATGCAGTGCACCTCTGACTCCTTCCTTGAACCATGGATGGAACTGTTTATTCTCATTGTTGACTTTTCAAGCATTTACAATAAATAACTGTGTGATCTGATACAAGTCTCTGGAATATTATTTGATCCATTCATAACATATACATTATATCCCCCCTCAAACTATTCCCTATCTTTTAGCAGAGGGTCAGAAAAGTGTGTAAATGTGGTTGGAGTCATCTGATTTCTTAAAATCCACCATACTTACATTTTCATTGTACAAAATGTCACTTAAAGTGTAGCCTGCTTCTACTACCATTGAATCCTTTGAAGAATAATTTACTCTTCATTGAGCTCAAAATTCTCAGTGGACTAACAACTAAAATGCGGGTACATATAATGGCTAGGCAGGCGCATATAGTTCCACAAACACACACAGTCGACGTCAACTTGAACTTAAAATCCCATACGTTTCTATACTGAGTGACTGCAAACAAACATGGGAATGTAGTGTATTATGATTATGGAATGTTGTTTATCTTAGTTCGAATGTAGCAGTTGTAGGGTGACGCCCCAGGGGGGATAGGTGATCGGACGAAAAAGGGAGCAACCCATTTATTGCCATTGTTTATAAGTAGGAGCTAGACAAAGAGCGGGCAGAAGCATTCAGATTAATTTGGGACGGTGCTTCTCCAGACACCGCGGGTCTGTAACTTATGCTGTACACTTGTGATATTAATAAAAGCTTCTAATCAAGGTGCAGCCTAAGCGGACTCTTTGATTGACAGCAATAGCCACCAACATCCGACGGGACACGACAGGAACAAACAAGCCTTTTGTGAGTCAGAATGGAGAAGTGGGCAGGTGATGGAACCAGTGAAATCCCAGTTCTCAGTGAAAGGGGGAAGTCACCCATAGACTGGTGATACTGAACAATAACTAATAAGAGGATTTAGAATAAGTGTTAACTTCTGAAACTATGTCAACGGAGAAGAAACAGCTGCTTTTTGAGGGCTTCTTGAAGAAAAGGAAAGATACACTGGTAAAACAAAGCTCTCAAATATGTAGAAAAACTTGTCACATTAACAACAGCTCAATTACTGTACTCAGTTTACTTGTTGATGAATACTTACAACTGTTGTCATGAATACTTACAAGTGACCGCTAAGGGAGGTAAACAGATAATTCTCAGTGGAACAATGATTTTTCCAATATTTTTGTATACTGCTTTGTATTTATGCCAATGTATTCCATACTACTGTGTTTAACTCTGTTATTGCCAGTCAGTCATGGTTTGTATCTAGAATCAAGTCTTCACTATCTGGCGGGACACTGAGTCTGTGTTTTGTTTTTTCTCTTTTAGAAAATGAAGTGGGCAACCTATTGGTTCAGGCTCCAAAACACAACACTGTTCTTCTACACTAGGAAACATGGGAGTGCTGTGAGTATCGTTCAGTTGTGAGAAGTCCCTTAATGTTTTCAGGGGGAGTTTAATGTTATTTACACTGTTCAAAGTAATAATAGTCTGATAATCTTCTCTGTCCCCCACAGTCACACCTAAGAGGCCTGTACTACATCTACACTGTAAGTCAAACTGGTTTTATTTCAGTTGGTGGGAAAGCCTTCATGGTCCTTCTAGACAGACAGAAAGGAACAAAGCCTTCATGGTCCTTCTATCTTTAAGGAGAGAAAGGAACAATTGTCCTGGACTTTATTATACTTTTCCTTGTATTCAATGAGCATTACACACCATTTATTTTAACTGCTCTAATTACGTTGGTAACCAATTTATAATAGCAATAAGGCACTGCGGGGGCTTGTGATATATGGCCAATATACCACGGCTAAGGGCTGTATCCAGGCACTCCGTGTTGCGTCATACATAAGAACAACCCTTAGCCATGGTATATTGACCATATTGCTTAAGTATAGCACTTTATGTTTGAAATAGATATGTTGTTGTTGGGTCAGGTGCAGTCTGTGCGTGAGATTCAGAGGGAGAAGGGTAAGCACTACGTCTTTGAAATCACCATGAAGAATGGGAAGAGGAAAGTACTGGTGAGTCACACAGACAGCTCTACTCCCACTTTCAGGTGTACAGAACAGTGTGGTGTGGGCTGTGCAGGCTGCCCTGTGCTTTCAGGATGTGGTCTGTTACTGTCACTTCATACTGACTGATGGGAATTTCCCGAATTAAACTACCAGGTGAAGAAGCTATCTCTACAAGTGTCTATTGTTCAGAAATATCTATTCAACTGTATTATATTCAATTATTTTATCATCTGTTTATATTTTAGTCATTTAGCAGACACTCTTATCCAGAGCAACTTACAGGAGCAGTTAGGGTTAGGTGCCTTGCGCCTAGAATTTGCACCTAGTTGGCTTGGGGATCAGCAACCTTTTAGTTATTAACCCAACGCTCTTAACCGCTAGGCTACCTGCTGCCCAGCTGTATTAAACAGTACTTGAATTGCTTAAAGTAATTTAACACTTCCTCCAACAACTATGATGATATTTTTAGCTCCGACTGTAACAATGTACTAAATTCATCCCTGCTACCACCTGACCATGTGTCTGTAGGCTGCAGAGACAGCTGATCTGAGGACGGAGTGGATTGGCCAGCTGTGGAGGGCCATGCATCTCTCAGGCCCAGGGGGTACAGACCCAGGCTGCATACGGTAACAGAAAGCTCAGGATTATTGAAACACTACTGCACTGTATGTCATTACATTACACAGTTGTTATCAGGTGCTCATACAGTTGAAGTCGGAAGTTTACGTACACCTTAGCCAAATACATTTAAACTCAGTTTTTCACAATTCCTGACATTTAATCCTAGTAAATATTCCCTGTCTTAGGTCAGTTAGGATCACCACTTTATTTTAAGAATATGAAATGTCAGAATAATAGTAGAGAGAATGATTTATTTCAGCTTTTATTTCTTTCATCACATTCCCAGTGGGTCAGAAGTTTACATACACTCAATTAGTATTTGGTAGCATTGCCTTTAAATTGTTTAACTTGGGTCAAACGTTTCGGGTAGCCTTCCACAAGCTTCCCACAATAAGTTGGGTGAATTTTGGCCCATTCCTTCGGACAGAGCTGGTGTAAATGAGTCAGGTTTGCAGGCCTCCTTGCTCGATCACGCTTTTTCAGTTCTGCCCACACATTTTCTATAGGATTGAGGTCAGGGCTTTGTGATGGCCACTCCAATACCTTGACTTTGTAGTCCTTAAGCCATTTTGCCACAACTTTGGAAGTATGCTTGGGGTCATTGTCCATTTGGAAGAACCATTTGCGACCAAGCTTTAACTTCCTGACTGATGTCTTGAGATGTTGCTTCAATATATCCATATAATTTTCCTTCCTCATGATGCCATCTATTTTGTGAAGTGCACCAGTCCCTCCTGCAGCAAAGCACCCCTACCAGAGGACATTCCTCCAAAAAGTACAATCTTTGTCCCCATGTGCAGTTGCAAACCGTAGTCTGGCTTTTTTATGGCGGTTTTGGAGCAGTGGCTTCTTCCTTGCTGAGCGGCCTTTCAGGTTATGTCGATATAGGATTCGTTTTACTGTGGATATAGATACATTTCTACCTGTTTCCTCCAGCATCTTCACAAGGTCCTTTGCTGTTGTTCTGGGATTGATTTGCACTTTTCGCACCAAAGTATGTTCATCTCTAGGAGACAGAACGCGTCTCCGTCCTGAGCGGTATGACGGCTGCGTGGTCCCATGGTGTTTATACTTGCGTACTATTGTTTGTACAGATGAACGTGGTACCTTCAGGCGTTTGGAAATTGCTCTCAAGGATGAACCAGACTTGTGGAGGTCTACCATTTTTTTTCTGAGGTCTTGGCTGATTTCTTTTGATTTTCCCATGATGTCAAGCAAAGAGTCACTGAGTTTGAAGGTAGGCCTTGAAATACATCCACAGGTACACCTCCAATTGACTCAAATTATGTCAATTAGCCTATCGGAATCTTCTAAAGCCATGACATCATTTTCTGGAATTTTCCAAGCTGTTTAAAGGCACCGTCAACTTAGTGTATGTAAACCTCTGACCCACTGGAATTGTGATACAGTGAATTATAAGTGAAATATTCTGTCTGTAAACAATTGTTGGAAAAATTACTTGTGTCATGCACAAGGTAGATGTCCTAACCGACTTGCCAAAACTATAGTTTGTTAACAAGAAATTTGTGGAGTGGTTGAAAAACGAGTTTTAATAATTCCAACCTAAGTGTATGTAAACTTCCGACATCAACTGTATCTAGAACGACTTCCAATAAGTTCATTCAAATTAGGCTAAATAACCTATAAGCATCGTAAGTTATACCGTCAAAAATAACTTGTTTGTAACAATCACAGTGGTAGAATAGATGCCATCTGTGCAGGTGTAATTGAAGCCTGAAACTACTATATATATATGGGAGGATTGGCTATGCAGACAGCACAGGAGGTTGGTGGCACCTTAATTGGGGAGGATGGGCTCGTGGTAATGGTCGGAGCGGAATAGGTGGAATGGTATCAAACACGTTTCTATGTGTTTGATGCCATTCCATGAGCACCGTTCTAGCCATTATTATGAGCCGTTATTTGAGTGCCTTGGAAGGCATTATTTGCCTAAAGGTTGGTTTAGTAATATAGTGCGGGAAACATTAGTTTTATTTCTGTCCATTTGAGTGTTGCCTGTCTTTCTGTTTTGTCTCCAGACAGCAGGATGTGAGGTCTGATGACCTGAGGGTCAGAGGTCACTCCAGCACCTATAGCAGCTCAGAATGTGACAGCATGATGGAACCACTTGGGGTTCATCGAACCCCTCTCTGCACCTCTCACCCCCTTCAACCCCTGACCAAAGACCTAGACCAGGGGGACAGGAGTACCCACTGCCTCTCTGGCCCCCTCACCCCTGACCAAAATCTGGGGCACAGGGCTACCCTCTCTCTCTCCCTCACTGACAAGCTCAGTAGTGAGGAAGCCATATGCCAGAACACCATCTCACATTGTAAGTAGAGCATCAATGGGGTGCTAAATCCTGTGTAAACTCAGCAAAACTTAAGTGTAGAAATATGTTTGTTTTTTCATTCACATTTGCTGTGCCAAGCAGTTGGAGGGGGTCAATGGTATTGTTGTCTAGTGGAAAGAGGAAATGGTCACGTTGTGGCATTTAATGCTTTGGTGTTGAGGTGGTGAGCCAAGCTGTATCTTCAGCTCTGAAACACGACAACATCTTCTCACTGTCATTTCAGGTGGAGAGGAGGATAAGAACAGTGTCCATAGACTTAGTGGGAGATGTGAGGAGAAGAGAGAAGAAGAAGAGGAGGAGGAGCATAACGAGGAAGAGGGTCACTACGACATTCTACCAGCCCCCCGGAACTGTGAGTACTACCCTCATGGTCACATCAGTGTGTCATTATATCTCATAAATCAATAAATGATCAATCATAAATGTCATGAATCATTCCATTATGGAGACCACTGTATATGATACAAAATACCAGTAGATGTCATATTACATGATAATGACTTATGTTAATGGTCTGTGTTTGATAAATGACCAAAAACCTACCTGCTATTTCCTCTCTAGCTGAGTATCACATCAACCAAACAGATGAAGATTTGACAGATGGAGAGGGCCTCTATGACTTCCCATTGTCCAACAGGAGGGCAAGTGACTGCCAAAGTGAGATTATGAAAATGTATCTTTTTCAATGTATTGGGTTTTTAATTAATTCAGCAAATGAATGTGTATTTGGGTTTATTTTCATGTTCTATCTCAGATTATAGTGAGATGACAGAGAGCATCTATGACGTCCCCAGTTCCCTAATGAGGAAAATGTCTGAACACACACTTGGTGAGTATGACAGCAGAGTTCTAATTCCCTTTTCATACATTTGTTAGCCGCTAATTTTATAGACACACAAATGTAAGGGCCTTTTCAATCTATATCCTTGAATAGCACGATGTAAAGGTCATTTCCGATTGAGCCGACATATGCAGCGTTTAACGCGAATGCAGTCTCCGCTAACATTGCCTTTAAATGTAAATCACGCTGTAAGGCTGCACTTCCGCGACACCGATTGAATAGAGCCCTAACATATCCTGAGAATGGTATACTTCTATTTAAAGGAATGTGTAGAACCAGAAGCAAAGTAGACACTATTTCCCCCCTATCTACCCCATGCAAATCCTAACCAGACTCCTCGTCAGTATTAACAGAAACACACACGTCTTTATCCCTCACTCTCATTGCAGAGCCTTACCCTGGAGGTGAGATACCGGTGGAGGACAGGGGCCTCCTGGATGACATGATGGCCAGTCTGGGCGGAGGGACGGTGGGCTGGATAACAGGTGCTCCTACTGGCTCTGTGGAGGCCTACGGGCTGGCTCATCATGGCTCTTAGGACTGGTATATAGTATAGGCTGGTATAGACTCTGGATAATATAGACTGTGTTATCCTCATTCAAATGGTTCTATAAAGCTTGATGCATTCTGTTAGAGATGTAAATATGTTTACATTTTATGGAATAAATCTAATATGTCATGATATTCTATTCTATTTGTCACGGTTTCGGCCGAGGCTGCTCCTTCTCCTTGTTCGGGCAGGCTTCGGCGGTCGTCGTCTCCGGAGTACTAGCTGCCACCGTTCTTTGTTTTTGATGTTTGTTTGGTTTGGTCTGTTTGGTACACCTGTTCTCGTTTAGTGTTGATTATGTGTCCTTTAAGTTCTCGTTGTTTCTGTCATGTGTTTGTGTGTAGTTGTTCTTTTGTCAGCTGGAGCAGTCAGTACATTTTCCTCTATTTGTTTTGTTTATAGAGAGTCCGCACTTGTTGTGCGCGTTGGTTGCATTTAGCTCGTTTACGCAGTGTGCGTAATTTTCTCGTGCCTCCGGCTCTGTTTTGTAGCCGTGTCATTTTGTCTTGACCAAAGACTTTTGGACTAGCCTCTGTGTCCTGCGATTGATTCCTACACCACATCCACGCCGTCTGACACTATTGACATCTCTTTTAATATAATCTACTGTCAATGAAATACCATATTAAATACTTCACTTTATACGGTCTTAAAGTGTTTTTTTCACTTAGTATACAGTGGGGGAAAAAAGTATTTAGTCAGCCACCAATTGTGCAAGTTCTCCCACTTAAAAAGAGGAGAGAGGCCTGTAATTTTCATCATAGGTACACGTCAACTATGACAGACAAATTGAGGAAAAAAAATCCAGAAAATCACATTGTAGGATTTTTAATGAATTTATTTGCAAATTATGGTGGAAAATAAGTATTTGGTCACCTACAAACAAGCAAGATTTCTGGCTCTCACAGACCTGTAACTTCTTCTTTAAGAGGCTCCTCTGTCCTCCACTCATTACCTGTATTAATGGCACCTGTTTGAACTTGTTATCAGTATAAAAGACACCTGTCCACAACCTCAAACAGTCACACTCCAAACTCCACTATGGCCAAGACCAAAGAGCTGTCAAAGGACACCAGAAACAAAATTGTAGACCTGCACCAGGCTGGGAAGACTGAATCAGCAATAGGTAAGCAGCTTGGTTTGAAGAAATCAACTGTGGGAGCAATTATTAGGAAATGGAAGACATACAAGACCACTGACAATCTCCCTCGATCTGGGGCTCCACGCAAGATCTCACCCCGTGGGGTCAAAATGATCACAAGAACGGTGAGCAAAAATCCCAGAACCACACAGGGGGACCTAGTGAATGACCTGCAGAGAGCTGGGACCAAAGTAACAAAGCCTACCATCAGTAACACACTACGCCACCAGGGACTCAAATCCTGCAGTGCCAGACGTGTCCCCCTGCTTAAGCCAGTACATGTCCAGGCCCGTCTGAAGTTTGCTAGAGTGCATTTGGATGATCCAGAAGAGGATTGGGAGAATGTCATATGGTCAGATGAAACCAAAATATAACTTTTTGGTAAAAACTCAACTCGTCGTGTTTGGAGGACAAAGAATGCTGAGTTGCATCCAAAGAACACCATACCTACTGTGAAGCATGGGGGTGGAAACATCATGCTTTGGGGCTGTTTTTCTGCAAAGGGACCAGGACGACTGATCCGTGTAAAGGAAAGAATGAATGGGGCCATGTATCGTGAGATTTTGAGTGAAAACCTCCTTCCATCAGCAAGGGCATTGAAGATGAAACGTGGCTGGGTCTTTCAGCATGACAATGATCCCAAACACACCGCCCGGGCAACGAAGGAGTGGCTTCGTAAGAACATTCAAGGCTTTGGTGAACCT